TTAAGTCCACTCCCAAGAGCGCCACGCACATGGACTGCAGCCGTCTGTTGAGCCGCTCCTGTGCGCTTCTGACAGAGATGATGAAATTCCACACAGCAGGCCCCGTCACACCCACCTGACAAACAGGGAAACTGAGGCACGGGGCCGGACAGGGGACGGGGAGGATTCCCACCCAGGCCCCGTGCCTGCTGCCCTGTCTGCAGCTTCACCACTATTTCTGCCAGAGCAGGCAGCGAGGACGGCCCAGGGAGACCCCGCTCACCTCGTTCCCCCTCGCTGGGCACGTGGCACGCCACTTAGGAGACGCGGCCACCCAGCGCTGTCAACCCAAACAAGGTAAAACCATGGCTCTGCCATCAGACACTGCAGATGACCGCTGAGTCATCTACAGGCCGTTAGGAGTGCATTTTCACACGTTTAAAAGAAGCATATCTTCTGTTCGGGGGACTCCCAGCAGCTCTAGGAGCTAAGAAGCATCCTGAATCCTTCTTAAGGTAGAATGAAATCACCTAACAGGCCTCCGGTTCACAGCGGCTCCCTCCCCACCACCCCGCTGCCTGCTGGACTCTGAGACCAGAGATCAGTGAGGCAAAGCTCAAGACCCCCCGGCCCGTGACGTGCCCATTTATCAGAAACCATCACGAACGCTTCCCGTCAGTCCGCTGCTCTGACTGTAAAGTGCAGACCCGAAGTGATGACATCAGAGTTGGCACAGAAAACAACACTCACCACCCGTTAGCCGCTCAGTCTCTCCCTGGCCCTGCAAAGGCCGGTGGCACAGGGCTGGGCGTGTGAGGCCCGCACACAGACACACAGCGAAGCCTCCCACTGAGTCACTCCCTACCCCACCCGGTAGAGTCCATAAACCACTTTCAGGGATGGGCATGGGGACCTCTCAGGCCCTCCTGTTTGCCCACAGCCTCCAAGTGCTGATGCATCGGAAGGAAAGCTCTCCCGGAGGGGTGGCAGGGAGGGAGGGGCCCGTGCCTTCTGAATTCAGGGATGACAGAGAGCCTGCTGTGACTCAGCACTGCCTGCGAGCAACCTTCCCAGGACTCCGTGAGCCCCCTCTGGGCCCGGCGCCTGCTGGCAGAGGGAGCTCAGCCCCGGCACAGCCTGTGTGGCCAGGCTTTCTGGAACACTGGCTTTCCAGCAGCTCACCTTGGAGGGGAGTCTGTTCATTCCCGCAAAGACGGCCTGGCTGCAGCTGGGCACTCCGAGTTTATCAGCTGGAAACGCAGCCTGGCTAGACGTTCACTGAAACCCCAAGCTCCTGAAACAGTGTCTATACCCGGCACCGGGGTTCAGCACAGTACGTAAGGTTGGCAGCTTGCTTCCCAGGCGAGCAGAGCAGGGAAATCGAGGCACGCGCTGAGACCGCCCTCTCAGACCCAGGGGCAGAAGGACCCAGGTTGAGGGGAGACGACCCGCCTCACCGGCCTCACTGCAAGCCCTCCCGCGGCCTGGGGCTGCTGATGCCCTGCTGGGTGTCTCCGGGTCTCCTAGGGATGCAACATCTCTGCGCATCCGGGGCCTCCAGACACAAACCCAGGCCTTTCCCATGGCCCTGTGACCTGCTGGTTTAATACCTGAAGGGCTCCTACCTGCTACTGCATTTCCAGGGTCCCGCTCCCCCCCCCCCAGGTGGTCAAGGAACAGAGGGCCAGCTCCACACCCGTGACCAGGTGGCCTGGGACTCTGGAGACCAGGATGGACCGTGGACAGCGCTCTAGACCCCCTGGTCCGCTGACACTGGGTTAAGGTGTCAAACAGCCTGTCTGGGTGCACGCTCAGGCGGACTCACAAAGCTCGAAGGGCCCTTCTTACAAAAAGCACACACGCCCGTCACATTACCTGGGCTTCGGAGAAGGCCATTTCATCTCTGGCCTGAACCCAGGATACTGACAGTTCCCAGAGAAACGTCAGTCACTAAAGCACTGTATTTATGAGGAATGTTAATGACTCACCCCCAGGATTGGTTTGGGGGTACAGATGGGGAAGCGCCCCATGGGGCGCAGGGCTGAGCATGGCAACCCCCATCCAGTGGACAGTATCACCTACCCACCCATCAATTCTTCCTCAAAGATGGAAAACACGAATCTGACCTATGCCGTCATCAGGATGCCCTTGGACAACGGCTGCCTCTTCCGCCCGCTCGCCCAGTGACCAGGCGTCAACAAACCAGCAAGAAACACCAGTATTAACACTTCTGTTTCCAATAAAGACACCAACTATTCCAAAAGGAGTAGTTTCACCTTTTTAAAGTTTACTCTTTCTTGGAAGGACTTTCCCTAAACAAAAGCCAAAAAAGCGTTGTCACCAACATCACAAAGAAGGACAGGCTAAGCTTTCCCACACATTCCTTTCCCATCCAGCTTTCAGAGTCTGGGTAATACTGACAAATCCTGAACGCTTTACATGAAGAAAAATGATAGTGTTTAAAAGATGGCCTTGAAGAAAATAAACGGAAACATGAGAGATGGGTAATGTTATTTTAATGTTAAACTACTATCTTATACATCAACGGGTTTTTTTTTTTTACCCAACTGAGGTAGTTATTATTGGTTCAGATACCCAAAGTTTTCAGTGTCAGAATGTTTTAAGGCATTACTGAATACTTTTTAGAACTGCAAGAACAATGAATATTTTTGGCTTCAGAATATTTTCCACTGCACTGTAATGAACAAGAAGCTTGGTGTCCAGTTTTAGACCAAAGCAGGGATTAAATCAAGAATGCAGTTTGAATTGTGTATCTGTCTAAATACAAAGTGGAAAAAAAAATCGTAACTGCAGGCAACCATCTCCCCTGACACCCCCCCTCCCCCAGCTAACTCTCACACCTCTGGTCCCCCAGCCCGGAATCTTCCCAGGACTGACTCTGTGCTCACTTGTCCCAAATGGATTAAATTAGACACGTAAGGGAAACATAAATTTCAATTCACAATCCAAGACAAAAGTCTGAGCTTTGGTCTGAAAAATGAAAAGCTACTGGGGTGACCTACTATACTCCAACCCTTCGAACAATCAAGATATTGAACTCCAAAGACAGATCTCAAACAAGAGCCCGCCCAACCTCACGCTGACTGCAGAGCACCATGCCACGACCAGACGCAAAGGTCTCAGACAGACACGTGGCTCGAGTCCAAGGGTCAAGGACAAATATCAGACAACCTGACCTGAGACGAAGCGCCAGCCCTCCCTGCCCCCCCCCCCCCCACGGCTCTGGGCTGCCCCATTACGACTGGCTAATCCACCCGCTGGGTGCCCAGCCGGGGTCAGCACCTGGACTTGCCTTGGAAGGGCAGCTGCCCACCTGGAGAGGGAGGCTCAGCGGCACCGTTCTCCATCCCGGGGCACAACCTCGAGGGCAGTAGTGTTTTCCACTTTTAAAAGACTTTCCTCTAAACCGAATCTATACCGTTATTAAGGAAACAGAGAGCCCACCCTTCCCCTTCCTCCCCGTCCAACGAAACACAGGTGATCCTGGAAACGAGGCCGACTCCAGAGCCTCGGCTGGAACCTGGACTCCTGACAAAAGTGTTTTTGGAAATAACCAGAAGCTGCCTGACCTGTGATACGTTTCCCTGCCGGCCTCTGCCAGCGTACACCTTGAAAAAGTAGCGCTGCTGTCCACCCTAGATATGACCTTTGGACGAGTAGCCTTGATTTTTCCTTAACCGAGACAAAAGTCACACAAACAAAAAGCCATTCTTTGTACAGACATCCTGTGCGGTGGCTGCCACCTCCCCCTGGCAACCCGGGCAGGACCAGGAAGACCCAGACTGGCCTTGGGGGAGACTGCAGTGAGGAGCAGCTGGGTGGAAAACGGCCAAGGACGGGGTCCCAAACGACAGGGAGCCAGGAAGCCCCAGGGTCCCACGAGCCGCTGTCACTCGGATGAGGAGCTGCTACAGGGCAAGGAGGCTGGAGCGGTGGCTGTACCCACCCCACACGGAGGAAGCCGAATCCTCTGGGTGAGGCCGAGGCGGGGCAGAGGGCACCGCAGGCACCCTAAGCCTTCAGCCCAACACTCTGGAAAACTCTTCGACCCCAAATGCCACGGAGCGCCAGCCCTTCAGGTCCCTGGACCCGCCCCTGGACCCCGGTCTCCCCAACAGACCCGCTGCCTCCCCTGAACGGGCCCAGCGGGAGGGCATGGACTTAAAGAAACCCCCACCCTGAGAGACCACCCACGTAGGGGGAGAGGGCGGGGAAGCCGCGTCCAGAAAAGTGGTCAGCCTCGCGGGGAGCAGGGGGTTCCGCGGGTCGGTCAGTGACACTGCGCCTCCGAGACCCCAGCCAAGACCCCAGTGCCCCGCAGCCCGGACCCTGAGCCCCGCGGGCCACAGCGGACACGGGCCGGGCCGCCGGCGGGGACGCCGCGCCCGCAGTGCGACTGGCGCAGCGGCCGAGACGCCGACCCCGCGGCCGAGGGGGCTCCCCGTCCTGCACTCGGGAGCCCGCGGGTGGGCAGGGGTCAGTGCTGGTTCGGGAAGGCAGGGCCGGGGCCGTGCGAGGGGGATCCTCTCTGCACACAGGGGAGGAGGGGTCAGCCCGGGACCAGGGGAGAGGAAAGTGGGGGTCTGCTCCAGAACCTGGGAAGGCAGGGCGGGGGTCTCTTCCTGAGCGCGAGGGGACACTGGGGGTACACTTCGGGCCCAGGATAACGGGCACGGACAGAAGAGGAATGAGGGAGTCCCCCCCCATCCACCCCGGTGCAGGGAGCAGGGACGGAAAGGTCCTTCCGGGACGCAGAAGTAGGAGGGGGTCGGCTGCGGGCCGGGGACCCCGAGGGGCGAGCGCGGCGCCAGGCAGAACGCGGATGAGCGGGGGCCGGGCGCGCCCCGGCGGGAGCGCGGCGGCAGCAGGGTCGCCCCTGGATGGGGCTGAGGAAGGGGTGGGGGGGGCGCGGCCCGCCGCAGGGGTCCCGGCACGGCGGGGGGGCCGCCGGCGGCCAGCGAGAGGGCGGTCTGTCTGCGCCGGGAGGGACGCGCGCTCACCTTGGGTTTGTACAGCCACTTTCGGAACCTGTTCATCATCGCCGCGCCGGCCCGGCCCCGCGGCCCTCGCCTCCGCAGCGCTGCGCCCGGCCCGGCTGCGGCGCGGGGCGGACGCGGGGGCAGGGCCGGGCCGGGCCCGCGCGGCCCCCGGGCGGCTGGCGCGAGCGGAGCCGGGCGCGGGGCGGGCGGACGGCGGCGGACAGGTGCGCGCGGCAGGTGCGCGGCCCGGGCTGCTCCGCGAGCGGCGCGCAGGGCGGCCCCGCGGCCCCGCTGCAGACGGACGGGCGCGCGGGCGGACGCGGGCACCGGGGCGCCGGCTCCTCGCGCCTCACTGACACCCCGAGCCTCGCCGGCCACCGCGCCGCGCGCCGCACATGCGCCGACGCGCCGCGAGCCCCCTGCCCGCTCGCCCGCAGCCGAGGCGCCCAATCCCGCGGCGCCGTGCCGCGCCCCACCCGAGGCGCGCTCCCCGCCGGAGGGAGACCCGGCGCTCCCGGAGAGGGCGAGAAACTACAAGTCCCGACGGGCGTTGGGGGGAGGCGGGGCCCGGGGCGCGGCGTCCTCTGCCGCGCAGCGGGCGCTGTGCATTCTGGGGCTTGTAGTCTTCCCGCCGGTGCGTGCAGCCGGTTGCTAGGTGACGACGCCCAAACTGCACCCTGGCGCGAGCTCCCCCTGCCCGGGTGGCCGCGGAGGTCCCGGCTGCACAGAAGTGAAGTGGGGGACCCGCCGCGATTCGGGAGCCCCGCCGCACCCGCTGGCCCCGCCATCTGCTGTGGCGGCGGGTGGAGGTGGGACGGAAGGCTTGGCGGCAGGAGCGCCCACGAAGCCAGCCCGCGGGTAGGAGGGGGAAGGGAGCCGGCGGGACCCGGCCGGGAGGAGGGCGTCCCCTCCGCATCGGCACCTCTTTCCAGCAACTTCCCGTGCTCAGTCCTCATCCGCCTTGCGTCCCATCTTCTCACTTTCGCTAATTTTGGCCTTCTTCCCAGCTCCTGGATTAAAGTTAATGGGTTTTTTTGATTTGTTTTGTTTTGTTTTGTTGTCACAAAAAACAGTGTTTTTTAAAAAGTATTCACCCATGTTCACTACTGCCCCCAAGGGTGCCCTAATTTGGATCCATAATCACCAGAATCTAAGAACCTACTTATGTGGCAAGCAGGGAGCTAAAAACATGTGTTGAATACAAGACACTTTAAATTCCCATCGTCAGCGGAAGAAACTGAGGCACAAAGAGGCTGCAGGAAATGGAAGTAACGTCTCCCCTGGTAGAGAATGTGTTCTCTGAGGCTCCTGTCGTCAGCGGCCCGGAGTCTGCGTGCTCGGTGGTTCTGGACCGGAGTCGGTGAGGCCGCGCGAGTCTCCCAGATTCCTGTGTGTGCTGGTGGCGGGCCATGTTCATTGCTGAGTAGCCACACCCGCTCTGCCCCCTAAGTTGCCTGCGCACACACCCCCAATAGCCTCTTATCTCCAATTCCTTCCTGCCTTTTCTCTCCTGAGCCCACTCTGATCGGATTTTCACCCAAGTCCCTCTCCCAAGTTCTTCATCAACGTCATCCTTGCCCCCGATGTTGTTAAATCCAGTGATCGGAGCTCAGCCCCATCTCTTCCTTGAACCATTATCGGCAGGCAGCTCAGCTGAGCCGGACACACCGTTCTCAGTTGTCTGGGACACATCTCACTCCCTGCCTCTCCTGTGGTGGCGCCTCCTCGGTCTTCTTGGCGGGGGCGTCCTCTGCTTCCCAGCCTCCCGACACTAAAGCCGGGGAACTCAGTCCCTGGTGGTTCTTCTTCTTTTTCTTCTTCTTCTTCTTCTCCTTCTCCTTCTCCTCCTCCTCCTCCTCCTCCTCCTCCTCCTCCTCCTCCTCCTCCTTCTTCTCCCTTTTCTCCTTTTTCTTTCTCCTTTCTCTCCTTTCTCCTTTCTCTCCTTTCTCCTTTCTCTCCTTTCTCTCCTTTCTCCTTTCTCTCCTTTCTCTCCTTTCTCTTTTCTCTCCTTTCTCTCCTTTCTCCTTTCTCCTTCTCCTTCTCCTTCTCCTTCTTCATGTTTATTTATGTTTGAGACAGAGAGAGACAGTGTGGGTGGGGAGGGGCAGAGAGAGAGGGAGACACAGAATCCGAAGCAGCTCCAGGCTCTGAGCTGTCAGCACAGAGCCCGACACGGGGCTCGAACCCATGAACTGTGAGATCATGACCTGAGCCGAAGTTGGACATTTAACTGCCTGAGTTAACTGGTGCCCCTGGTCCTTGGAATCTCTTCTATCTACTCCTTCCCTGGGTGATTTTCTGTGGTCACATGGTCTGATAAACCCCCGTTTTCTCCTGACCTTTCCAAAGCTTACATGCCCAGCCTGAACATCGCCCAGGGACTGCAGACCCCTCTACCTATTCTTTGCCAGTGGAAGTCTAACAAATCCCCTCAAATTCAGTGTGTCCAAGTGGACTCTCGATCTTCCCACGGGAGACCTGCTCCTACCCAGCCAGCGCTGCTCCTGAGAACTCCGTGTACACGCTTGGTGGACTGTTCTCTGTGGCCTCTCCAAGGCTGGGGCTGCTGTTGCTATCTGGAGGCTTCCTTCCTACGCTTCCCAGTTTGAAACTGTGCACAGGAGGAGGCCTGACCTCAGAGAAGTGGGTGTATCAGTTAAGATTATGCTCAGCTACGTGTAATGAATAATCGAAAGATCAGAGAGGCCCAAACAAGATTACTTATGTTTCCATAAAGGAGGTCAATGGAGAGCCAGTCCTGGAAGGTATAACAGCCATAAAAAGTCATCAAGGACCTGGAATCTTCTAGCCTCCTCTTCTGCCACCTTTAACATGTTTCCTCACAGTCCAAGATGGCTGCCTAGGTTCCTGCCATCACTTCCTGAGTCCAGGCAGCAGGAGGGAAAAGGGAAAAAGTGTAAGAGTATAAGTCTCTCCCTTTCAGAGAGATGTTCCAGAAGTCTCACACCCTTGCACTTCGGGGCATACCTCGCTGCCAGGGAAGCTGGGAAATGTCATCTTTCAGTTGGGTGGCAACAAACCCAAGCAAAACTCTGTGTTTTGCTATTCAGGAGGAAAGGGAGAGTGGAAATTGAAACGCAACCAGCAAAACCTGCTGTGTGGGTCTATACGTTAAGTACAAGCCGTCAGAGCATGACTTGGCAAAAATCCTTAGGAGACTTTTACTCAGAATTAAAAGCCTAGAAAAGAATATATGTTAATTAACACATATTTGGTATCTATGTAATGAAGCCTCTCTAGTGGTTGAGGGTGTTGAACTGGTTTGTGTCTGATGGAGTTTAAATTGCCTGTGATCTCATTTCTGTATATAAAGGATTTGCTAAGAAAAGAGAAGCTTTGGTCCAGCCCACCTTTAAAGTTTCCTTAGATATGAGACAGTCAGGTCTTGATTAGTGGAGTTAAATCTTGAGAATTAAATACCATTTCCCACATATCTGGTTTTACCCCCTTTGTTCTAAACAAAGCTGAGGTGCCAAGAGCATATATCAGAATCGGATGACTTTACTACCTGTCTCCTACCCGAAAATGTCATTGTGTCGACTAAGCTCACAGGCTGATTTCAGAGGACTGTCTCTTTTCCTGACTTCCACCCTCCTGGCGCAGCAGCCGCTCTGTGCCGGGGTGGGGTGCGGAGGAGGAACCCTCGGGCCTGGCAGCGAACCAGACTGGCAGGGACAAGGGTTCAAGCCACCTCGGCTCCCCAGGAACCCCCACTCCCCACAGCCCCCCACAGACTCCCCTCTCCACCCTCCACCTGGCTCATCCATGGGTTGCTTCTTCCAGTTTGTTCCGTCCAGGCCCGCTCTGCATTGGGGGCAGGGCTTGGCTGCCTCTCCGGCTCTTCTTGGACTTACATCATCACCAAAGGGCCTCTTGGAGCATCCTTTCTTCGGAATGTTCCAGCTCCAGGACAGGAGGGAGGGCAGGGAAGCCACTAAACACGTGCAGACCGCCCACGCTCACCACCCACAGCAGGTGCCGATTGCTTTTCCTGACCGTATCTGGTTCCTCCAGGCAGAGCTGTGTTCAGAGCAGACGCAGAAAGGTAGGGTCAAGGGCCAACGCCCATCCCAGGGCAGGGCCCCCAAGTGCCTGTCAGGGAGGGGGGGGGGGCAAAAAATGCATCCTTTGCATTGTTTCTATAAAAGTAGGCTTTTTAGGGGCGCCTGGGGGGCTCAGTCAGTTAAGCGTCTGACTTCGGCTTGGGTCATGGTCTCACAGTCTGTGGGTTCGAGCCCCACGTCGGGCTCTGTGCTGACAGCTGGGGGCCTAGAGCTGCTTCAGATTCTGCGTCTCCCTCTCTCTCTGCCCCTCCCCTGCTCACAATCTGTCTCCCTCTCTCAAAAATAAATACACGTTAAAAAAATGTTAAAGCGCTAATACAATCTTTGGGTAGGCCTGTCTCTGGATGTCAAAGCCATCTTTCAACTTGATCCTTCTGCACAGTTTTACATTCTGTCATTATCTCTGCGCACTTGCTGGGGACCAGCTCTGGTTAAGGGCGGGGACTCAGAGGTGGCACAGCAGGGTGCCGAGCCGGGTGCTCACAGTGCGTCACGCAGGTTAGGATGAGTTCAGAGGAGGCACAGAGAAGGGAAGCGCGAAGGGAGGAGGAAGCAGGCTCCACGGGCGCTGATACTCGCATCAGGTGTTGAGGGATGCGTAGGAGCTCGCTGGAGAGAGCAGAGGCGTGTTCGAGGTTCAGGAGATGCATGTGAAGAGGCTTGTCAGCCAGTGAGAAGCCGGGGAGGGTGGAGCTGGGGTACCGGACGGGAGGCGGGAAGAGGCCCCGGGACCGCGATCCCAGGCTGCGGAGGCGTAGGACCGCTGGGTCCCCCAGGGCTGAGAAGGTGGGCGATGTGTTGGTGACGGCTCTTAGTGGGAGGACGCTCCCCTGCCTGCGGCCGCTGCTCCCCAGACCTCCCTCGCCTCGGGGGGGGCAGGGCCACATACCCCACCTGCCAGAGCTCGGGCCGAAGCCCCGGGCCCTCCCGCCTGTCCCCCACACTGGAGGGACAGTGGCTGTGCCGGGCGGTAAGGCGGGGGCCAGGCCTGGGAGACCCGGTGAGTGGGTCTGCGGCCCGTGGAGCAGCCAGACCGGGTGACCTTCACCTGGAAACGTCCAACAGCCTCTTGGACGCGGGGCCAAGGGGGAAGGGTTTGCACGAACGCAAATAGCCAACGATGAGGGTTCATCCCGAGGGGCCACGGGCAGCCTGCCGGCCTCACAGCTTCCAAGCCCCCTCCCACCCCGCGAGGCCTCTAATGCCAGATGAGGGGTGTTGGGGGGAGGGCACCACTTTCTGTGGCCTTTACAATGTCCCTTTGTCCATTAGCTGCACTCGGCTGGGAAAAATCAGATCCTCCAGGGCAGAGGTTGCAAACTACTGCAATCGGTCTTTTCCAGAGCTTCTCGCAGAGGCGGTGTTTCGTCCCGGGATGCCCAGTTGGGTGCAGGCCAGGCCCCAGGCAGAGCCCCGAGGCGCGGGCCGGCAGACACTGACCCCACACCAAGGGAGGCCCCTCCGTGTGGTGAGCAACGCCCTCGCTCCGTGGCACATCAGGACGGCTGGGGGCAGGGCAGAAGCCCGGCCAGGGGAGGCGGCGCGGTCAGGGCGCCGGCTGCCGGGGTTGTGACTTCCTGCCCTCAGATAAGTTAAGTCACTTGTGCCCGGTTGCCCAGCAGACCTGGGACTCAGGCCGGGAGGACCGCCCGGTATGCGCGGCCTCGCCCTTGCCCGCCTGCGCCCGAGGTCAGGACCTGCTCCCACCAACCACCCTGCCCAGGCAGAGGAGAGGGGAGGGAGCCGGCGGCCCCCTGCCCTGGAGCTGCACACCGGGCTGCTTCTGTTGCAGAAGGTGGTGCGAGGCCTGCGCCCCGGCGGCCTGTCCCACTGCCCAGTGTCAGTGAGTGTGTCCACGGTCGGCGATGCCACCAACCTGGCCGCACGCAGGAGCAAAAGCAGGTCGCCCGGCACCACCGTGCTGACCCCGCACCCCAGGGCCCGCGCTCCGGCTTGGTGTGGGTGGCCCTGGCGAAGACCCCGCGGACCGATGAGCGCCCCCTTTCGGTGCCCGCGGGCAGGTCCCCAGCCCTTTCCCGGGGCCGAAGCCCACCCGGCTCTAGGAGGCCCCGGGGGCAGCGACCGCTCACGGGTCCTGCCCGCAGCTGGCTCACTCAGCACCGATGGCTCCTGCCCACCTTGGGGCAAGGATCCGTGTGGAAATAAGGGCTCGGTCACCGCTGTTGCCCCCTGCGGGGCTCGCCTTCGCCTCCTGCGGCAGCTCTGGTCTCCGCAGAACCGCTGACCTCTGACCTCGGTCACTCCTGAGGCTGGTCCTCAGGCCTGAGCGGGGCGTCAGGGCTTCAAGCCCGTGCCGGGCATCTCCCTGTTCCAAGAGGGCTTTCGTGCCGCGTGCACAGGGGAGGCTCCCGCCGCTGTGTCCCTGCACCGTCAGGGCTGGGCCCCCAGCGCCCCCTCAGGGACCAGCCGCCCAGGTGTGCCGCCGCAGGGCAGGAGCGGAGCCTGCCCCCCCCCTCCGTCACCCCCGGAAGTGCTCCTGCTTCCCAGTCCCCTGTCTGCCCCTTTCCGGGCTCCCTTCTCGGGGGCGGGGGGCAGGCCTTGTCTGTCTTTTCCAGGTTGGAAATGGGCTCCCTGCTGGGGAAGCTGAGGCTGGTCCCCAGCCCTGTCCCCTCCTGCGCCGCTTGTTGCCTCCAGAGCCCCGTCCACAGGGTGACCCGCCCGTGCTTCAGCCCTGGGACGCTGTCCCGTGACCCCGCCCCCCCCCTTCTGGAGCGCCAGCCGTGGGGTTCGGACCTTGAGGCCGGGCCGGGTTTCTGGGGTTTCCCTCGTACTCTGGGTCTTCGCCGTTTGTGCTCCCTGGGGGGGGTTCTCGACTTTACCCTCCACCCCTTCTGTTCATATTCTTATGGCCGTGTTTTCATTCCCAAGGACCCTGTCTCCCTCCACTGCTCCTCGCTCCTCGGACACCGTGCCTCCTACCTCTGGAGGTGACCTAGGCGCTCTTTCTGCGTTTTAACCGCCATCTGCTTCTGCTTCTCCCTTGTCTCTGTTCAGGGTGTTGTGTCAGAGGCTCTCTGAAGGTCTGGTGGCATCTGGACCCCACTCTCTCGAAGGCAGTAGGGGACTCGGCCAACGGGCCGGACTGGCTGGGACTGGCCATCTCGCTGGGGGCCCCAGTGACGGTGTAGGCGGCTCTTTGGGTGTTTTTCACTCAGTCTCCGGTCTGGGGGGGCCAGGCCTGGGGTCTGCTGTCTGGAGCCGTTCCAGCTTGTTGGGGGTACAGCAGGGGTGCCTGCGCTGTCCCCAGGGCGCTAGCAGCCTGGCTTTGCCAACAGCTGGTGCCCGGACAGACACCAGCCCAGAGGTGCTGCTCGACTAGCATGGAACAAGAGAGGGGCAGGGAGGGAGCCTCTGACGGGCCTGGCCACCCCCCCTGTGAGCAATTTGGGGTCTCCTATTAGAACCAGTTCCTGGGGTCGTAGCCCCAACCCTAGCAGCTCCTCGAAGGTCTCCCAGAGAGGGGCTCTGGGCCAGCTGGTCTCCTGGAGCTGGTATGTTTCCGGAATGTCTGGAATGTTCAGTGCCCATATGAGATCTGGCCACTTACCATCTGTGCATTCTTTCTGGGTGTTGGGTCCCTCACCTTCAAGATCGGGGTGTTGAGGGGCACCTGAGTGGCTCAGTTGGTTGAGCGTCGACTCTTGGTTTCCGCTGGGGTCATGATCTCATGGTTTGTGAGTTTGAGTCCCGTGCGGAGCTCTGCACTAACAGTGCGGAGCCTGCTTAGGATTCTTTCTCTCTCCCTCTCTCTCTGACCCTCCCTTGCTCGCACTCACTCCTTCTGTCTCTCTCAAAATAAAACATTTTTAAAAATTTAAAAATAAACAAAAAGGGGTGTTGAACCTGGCGACCTGAGGATTCTTCTTGCCCCGGCCGTTTGGGATCAGGCCACCTACCCCCCTGGGCAAGACCTGCTGTATAAACCTTCACAGGGGTCCTCCCCACCCGTGCACAGCTGTGGGGCTTGGGGCCACGCAGGGAGCCCGGGAGCCTCCAGGATCTGTGGGGGCCGGGGGCCGGGGGTGGGCTCCTCAGGGCAGCATGCAGGAATGGGCCCGGGTTTCCCCCGCCGGGGTCCCTCTCTCCCTCTAACATGCCTCAGTGTGAGAGGCCCCAGGCTCCAGCTAGTGATGAAGGCTCTGCTGAGCTGACAGCCCCGAGGTCGTAGAGGGTGTGACCTGGAGTGGTTTGCTCTTAGGGTCCTGCCCTGGGAAGATGGCCTACTACAGAAAATGCATTGAAACTGTGATTGAGCAACTGGACAAATTTAAGGCTGAGAAGTGCAGCGCCGGGCAGTTCCTGGAGTTGGCATCCGCCGCCCTGCAGGTAGGATCGGGGCTGGCCGGGAGGCGTGCCAGGGACACCTGTCACCTAGGAGCTACTTTCTAGGAAACGACATCAAATTCATTCCCAACAGCTGCTCTCCGTCCTGCCTGGGGAGAGGCCCCGGGCACGGCTCCGCGCCTTCGAAGGCTGGGTCCTCAGTGTCCCTCTAGGTCACGACCGTGGCTGTGGTGTCCCCAGGGGCCTTCAAGGACCCCGTCTGTGCCTCGAGAGGCATCCCTGGCATCCGGAATGTGCATCAGACCACTGTTGTGAGAAGCAATATTGGCACCGTGACCCGGGGTGTGCCTGCACGGTGCCGTCCCAAACTGAAAATGGACAAGAGTGAGCTTGGATCGGCCTCCACTCTGGAGGGCGGCCTCCTCCGCAGCAGCAGCACGCGAGCTGACCGGCCTCCCACAGAGAGGCAGGGGCGGCCGAGGCGGCGAGGCCCACAGCCCCCACCCCCTTCCTCTTGCGGCCACGCCCGCCCGGAAGAACTGAGGGACCTCCCTCCCCCGGCGACTCACCCCGTCCCTGTGCCCTGGAGGGTCCCCGTCCTTCTCTCCCCCAGCTGCAGCCCGGCCCGGCCCTGCACACGCACGGAGCCCGCTGGGCTGCAGCCCTGGGCCGGCGCAGGGCCGCGGTGGCACGGCCTGTCACCTCAGCGGCCCCCGGAAGCCCCCCGTGCGTCCGTCAGTCCGTCCACCAGGGGCGGGTGGGTGCCCGGGGAGCAGGACTGTGGGGCACGGGGGGGACAGTGCCCAGTCCCCCCGCGAACGTGCTCCCGGATGGCCACAGGGCCCGCTGCCCACCCCTCGCCACCCACCCGCGGGGCGAGCACCTGTGCTGTTGGGAGGTGGGGCTGTTGTAGCAAATGCGTCCATTACAGGATGTTCGTCCTTAATTGCCGCTTGGAATTGCTTTTCCGTAGCAGGGCGCGTGTGAGCTCTGTACTGCGCCCCCTCCCCCGTCCCCATTACCGCCGGCTGTGGGCTCTGCCAGGCCCTCTCCCTTGGGGTGTGGTAGGGAATGTTCTTCCTCGGCAGCTGCCCTGTGGGGCAGCGGCCTGCAAGCCTGAGGGGGGCAGGGCAGGTGCGCAGGGCCCTGCGGGAGGAGCCGGGCCCCAGGCAGCGCACAAAGGCCCGAGGGGTCCGGAAACCTGGGACTCTCCCACGAGGCAAAGCTTGGGACAGCTGCCCCAATCCCCGCTCACCGGCTTCGTTCCGGAACCGAGGCCTCGGGCAGCAGGGGCCGGGCGGGGGTGCGGGGGCACCCCTCGGCACCCCTCTCTCCAGCTCTCGCCTGAGGCCCAAGCGTTTTGGGGAAATGATGAAAACAGCCAAGGGCCAGGCCCTACCATAGTGGTCCTCCCCGACCGGAAGCGCCCTGCACAGCTCAGCGCCCCCGCCCCACCCCCAGCCCCACCCCCACGCCGCAGGGGCCTGGCGGGGCAGCTCCCTCTGTCTTACCCTCCGCAGGTCTCTCCCATCAGCCACAACTGCTATTATTTGTCTCGTCCTAAAAGAAAGACCTCGCCTGAGGTTCTGTCACCTTCCGTGTCCAAGGAGGCCCCTTGGTGTCTCTGCTCTGCCCTCGGCTCCCCTGCGCCCGCCCTCCAAAGCTTCCCGCATTGCCCAGCAGAAAGTGAGGTTACCATCTTTATTTCTCAGGAGTAACCATTACAGAGAGTCGGGTTCGTTACAACTGGTTATTACTGGTAGTTGTCGCCTGGTGAGCCGTGACATCGCGCCCCCGTGTCCCCCGTGTGTGTGGGAGGGAGGCCAGCGCGCCCCTGCCCCCACACCGGCCGCACCGAGTCCCAGGGGGCCGGCTGGCACTCACGTCAGGGGGAGAGGCTGGCAGCTGCGCCTTCTGACACGCCGGTGCTCCCGGATCCTCCCCGGTGCCACCCGCCTCGAGTCTGCCCAGCGGGGACAACACACTCTTGTGTCCAGAAAACTGAAGCAATCACTGCTTTTGTTGGGCGCGGGCTCAAGACTGCCCCCTGGCAGGAACCGACGCGGCACGTGAACCGATGGGCAGTCCGGAGCTGGAGACGGCCAGGGTTCAAGTCCCGGCTGCTGGTTACCTGCGAATGTGACCTTATTTAGAAGTGCCACCTTTGCAGATGTGATTAGGAATCTCGAGATAAGAGCGCCCTTGACTTAGGGTGAGCCCCAAATCCAGGCCTTATAAGAAGAGGGAAATCTGGACACAGACACAGAGACGTGTGGAAGAAGGCCACGTGACCGCAGAGGCAGAGTTTAGAATGATACGTCCACGAGCTGAGGATGCCAGGATCCCGCAAGCACCTGCAGCTGGGGAGAAGCACGGTGTGGACTCTCCCTGTGATCTGACCTTGCAACACCTCCACCTGGGAGTTCTGTCCTCCAGAACATTGAAAGACTATGTTCCTGTTGTTTTCAGCTGCCAAGTTTGTGGTAATTTGTTACAGCAGCCCCAGGACATTTGCACAGATGGGGAGCCTCCCAGGGAAGCCAAGAATAGAGGGGCCAGGTTGGCACACTCAGGGTTGCTGCTGAAGTGCTGGGCTCTGGGGACCAGGTGGAGAGGAGGGCGCCGGGGGTGTTCAGATGAAGCCTGGCCGAAGGGCGGGGAAAGATCGAAGACTTGTGGGTTGGGGGAAAGGCGTGCTGACTTTCTCTCTGCAGATGGATCTGCAGATCAGAAAGGCCTCCGTCATCACCGCTGCGTGTGTGGGTGCTGAGACGTGGGGACAAGCCTCTCCAGCGGCACTGAGGACCTGGCTGGGGCCGGAGGAGGGAGGGAGGGGCGGGTGGGGGTGAGGGTGATGGCATCGGCAAGCAGCCTGGGCAGGCCCGAAAGCCTGGGTTCTCCTGTGCTCCCTGGGCCCTCAGGCAGGGGCGGGAATCCTTGCGCCCCCCATGCTCCAAGCTCCGCCCCCCGCAGTTAAGGTCCCTCTGGAACAGTGTCATCTCGTTGGAGCACCGCTGTGGCGGACCTGAGAGTTTCCTCTAGGGGAGAGGGATGCTGGTGGGCCTTCCTCCCTGGGTGCTGCCTTTGGCCACCCCTGCCGCCACCCGCACTCCCAGAGCCCCACGTGGCCGTGCCCCACGTGGCCAGCCAGCACGACCGCTGGGGCACCAGGCTGGGGCACGGGAACTTCCAGAGTCAGGACCGGGGTGGGGCGTGCTGGGCACAGCAGGCAGCTCAGGGCATCCACAGAGTCCATGAGGGTGAGCACACCTCAGAGAGGGGCCTGGCTATGAGACAGAACCGGGGGGGGGGGTCCGGGAGAACGGGGATCACCCACCCCAGGCAGAGGGACCTGCATGAGCCAGGGACAGGGGGCTGCAGAGTCCTGACCTGTGGCAGGCACTGCGTGGGCAGAACCGTGGGCCCTGGGCCGGACCGCAGGCAGGCAGGGGGTTCTCAGCAGGGGGGTAGGTCAGCACTGGGCTGGCAGACAGCACAGGGGTGAGGCGGGGATGAGCGGAGGCCCAGCTGAGTGCCTCCCCCCGCCCCGGAGGGAAAGGGAGAAAGCAGGGTCTGGGGGCCTGGATCCCACCCATGTCCCTGCCTGGAAGGTGGCAGTGTGGCCAAGTGCCGAACGCCTTGAACTTGCTCTCCCGGTTAGTAGGTTCCTGGGCTCAGGAAACACTTTTTATTTTAATATTTAAAAAAAATTTTTTTTAATGTTTTTATTTATTTTTGAGAGAGAGAGTGCTGGAGAGCACAAGTCGGGGAGGGGCAGAGAGAGGGAGACACAGACTCCGATGCAGCTCCAGGCTCCAAGCCGTCAGCACAGAGCCCGACGCGGGGCTCGAACCCACGAACCACGAGGTCACGACCTGAGCTGAAGTCGGATGTTGAACCGACTGAGCCGCCCAGGCGTCCCAAAACAGTGTCATTTTTATATAAAAAATTTAAAAGCTTTTACAAAATGGTAGTTCATTATAACGTAATCCTGGACCTGGCTTTTTTCACTCAAAGTGCCATGAGGGAAGTTCCACGTTCTTGCCTTAGAACCGAAAGCATCCCATTGCCTGGCCAGGACCGGATCCTCGCAACCATCCCCGGCTACGGGCCCGTAGGCTGTTTCCAGTCTTTTAGGACCAGAACCACCCTGGGACGGGCCAGTCTGCTTGTCCCTCTGCACCTGTGAAGGCGCACCTCGGGTCAAGCCCCAGAAAACGCAGCTTCTCTGCGGAAGGGAACCGGCCCCCGTGGTTTGTGTTGATGTTGCCAGTTGACCGTCGGGGGGGACCTACATACAGACGCTCTCGCGGGCTGGTCGGGAGCCCTCTAGCGCCCTGCTCACATATTGTGCTGGCAACTGTTTTCATCCCTGCCGATCAAATAGGTGGGAAAAGGCGCTCGGCGCACATGACCAACATTGATCTTACTGCCCGAAGTTTGAAGCAATATGTATTTCTGTCTCTGAATGATCCGCTTGGACCTGCATCTGTTAGCAAGCAGGGTTTGGCAATCCAGTGGTAATCCAGAAAAGCACTGGCTTAAAGAAATTGGAGGTATCTTCGCTCACATAAGCCGCAGTCTGCATCCAGGCAGCCGAGGTGGGTCCAGGGGCTCCGTGGTGCCATTAGAAATGTATTTTTCCAACCCCCTGCTTGGCCATCCTTAGAATGTACCTTCGTCTTGTAGTCACAAAATGGCTGCTGTGCCTCGGGCATTGCATCCATATCCCAGGTGAGAAGAGGAGAAAGGCAAACAGCCTAAAGGTACGTGCCAGGTGACTCTGCCTGACTTTCTACGAGCTTTCTTGGAGGCCGCACCTGGAAATTTGCCATTAGCTCTCATTGATTAAAGCCATCTGCTACCTGGCTCCATCCGCAGGGGACTGGAAAACATTTTAGCTGAGCACACCGCCGTCCACAATGAGATAGCATTTTTCTGTGGGGCAGGAAAAAGGGGAGAAGGGATTATTTAGACACCCAGCAGCCTGTTTTCTTTGTCTGCTCTTCTAACGACTTCAGCCAGTGCGTCCCTGACCAGCAGGAGCCTCTAGATGTTGTGACATGACTTACACGTTCTGCGTTGTGACCGAATCCGCCCCCAGGCCCCTCTCCGGCCCCGGCCCGGTCTAGCTCTGCCCTAACTCTGCAGTGTGCGGGCAGGAGGCAGCGAGTGACGGGGAGCGCCCCCTCCCAGGCCCGTCCTCCGAGGGCCTGCTGCGCCCCCTGGGGGCTGGCGGGGGGTGTAGACTCCAGGACCCGGAACGGGACCAACACCCAACATGGTATCGCACTCAGCGGCCCTTGGGGTCTGTGAGGATTAGGGGTCAGCTCGGGAACTGGGTCCCTCTCCCGGTGCTCGCCCCGCGCCCTGCTGCCTCCTGGAGAAAGTCTGGCCAGAAGGACTTGGTCGCCGCCCCAGGCCTCAGTCTCCCCACTGTGACCAGCTGGGTTGACCTTCCCTGGTGGCAAAGACCCGGCCCTGGGCCCAGGTGTCATTTGCTGCTCGGCGTCCTGCGGGACCCCTGGGCCCCACGCAGCCCGGCCTGACCTGCGTGCCCGGGGACGGCTGGCTAGGGGCTTGCAGCCGCAGGCCCAGGGCTCTGACCTTATTGAAAACACAGACTCACACTTGCCAAACGCAGCCGTAATTAGTGAGAAGCGGAGTCACTGTTGTCCGAGCCTCCGAAGCGGGAGAGCCTGGCATCCTGCACAGTCACGCAGCCCCGGCTCCAGCCCTGCTGACTCACCGCTTCCTGACCCGCCTGCTCGGGCGCCCGGGCCTCTGACAGAATGTACCCGGTGCAGGCACAGCCCAGGGTCAGCGGGACACGAGGCCAGAGCTGGCCCTGGAGGGAGACCCCGCTCTGTGCCTCACCTGCACCGGGCGGTGTCCCTGGGTCCCCACAGCTGCCCACGGAGGCAGGGCGTTCTGTCCCCTCCCCGGGGCGCCAGCGTAAGCTTGTAGCGGGGACGGGAATCCCCGCCTGTGCGTCGCGCTGGGCGAGAGCGCCAGGCGGTGTCTGACCCCAGGGTGGTCAGGACGCCTCCTGGGTCAGGGGGCGTCTGAGCAAAGACCCAGTGGGAGTGAAGGAGCAAGTGTGCAGGGAAGGGCGTTGCAGGCGGAGTGAACAGCTAGCACGGAGGCCCTGAGGGGGCATCCTACGCGCCTGAGAAGCAGAGGGAGGCCAGCGTGGCTGGAGTGCAGACAGGGCTGGGTGAGGGTCAGAGGGAGCCGGACCGGTCCACACAGGGTCTCACTGGCCAGTGTAAGGACTCCTTCTGGAAGGCCCTAAAGAAGAACAGACATGATCTGATTCCCATTTTAAAAGAACGATTTGGGGGTGCCTGGGTGGCTCAGTCGGTGAGCGTCCGACTTCAGCTCAGGTCATGATCTCGCGGTTCGTGGGTTCGAGCCCCGCGTCGGGCTCTGTGCTGACTGCCAGCTCAGAGCCTGGAGCCTATTTCAGAGTCTGAATCTCCCTCTCTCTCTGACCCTCCCCTGCACACACTGTCTCTCTCTCTCTCTCTCCTAGAAATAAATAAATAAATAAACACTAAAAAAAAAAAAAAAAAAAAAAAAAAAAAAAAAAAAAAAAAAAAAAAAAAAAAAGAGGAGAAGCCAGAGGTGCAAGGGCTCCCCCAGCCTGCCGGCTCCGCGAGGCAGAGGTGCCAAAGACTTCCTGGGGCTGTGCTGAGGCGGGAGGTCAGGCAAAGCCCAGAGGCCAGACCTCCAGGGAGGGGGAGGGACAGGGGCAGACAGAGCTTTCTGGAGTCCAGGCCAGGGACGCACGGTTGGAAGGGCTCGTTTTCCGCCATGCGCCATGCGGGGTGTGGTGCCCCAGGGGTGAGCGCAGACCTTGAGGAGCCTGGGCTGGGGACCCTCCCGCCTCCATGCCAGTAGGAGAGCATCAGCATCGGAGCCCAGTCCTGGCACTGGAGGGAGCAAGGGGAAGGGATTTAGTACAGCGGGCTGTGCTCAGAGCCGTGGGGAGGGCTTCAGAACCCCACCCCTGGGGGGGCGGGAGGGGCGTCGTCCCCCCTGCCCTCCGTCTCTCCTGTAAGGGCATCTCGTTAGCACAACCCAACTGTGCCAGAGCCCACAGAACACGGGTCTCCGGCTTCCAGCCCCCGTGGGTCAGGGGCACCTCGGGAAGGACACGGAATGGCACCGTCTGCCAAGACAGCGTCCAGCCCCGCACGTGTGGGGACCGAGGCTCTCTGCGGTCCTGGGGCTTGTCCAGGACCCCTCCGGTCGTTTTCTTGAGTGAAAATAAGAGAGGGGCACCTGGGTGGCTTGGTTGTTGAGCATCTGACTTCAGCTCAGGTCATAATCTCGCAGGTCTATGGGTTCGAGCCCCGTGTCGGGCTCTGTGCTGACAGCTCAGAGCCTGGAGCTGCTTCAGATTCTGTGTCTCCCTCTCTCCCTGACCCTCCCCTCCTTGCACTCAGCCTCTCTCTCTCTGTCTTAAAAATAAATAAACATAAAAAAAAGAAGATAAATATAACTAAATGTCCAGTAAATACATGAAAATTTCACTGATAATAAAAAATTCAAAAAAAAAAATAAGATGCCAAAATTTATCTAACAGATTGGCAAAAAAATTTTTGTTTTAATGACACTACTGGTGAGTGTGTTTTGCCGTGCGGGTCGAGGCCTGCGGCTCAGTTTCATGCGCGTTAACCATCCTGTCCCCTGGAGGTCATGCGGGACTGGCTCTAACGGCCACCTTGCTCCCTGCGAGGGGACAGAGCGTCTGACCCGCGGCTCCCGGCCACTGACACTCAGGCTGTTACCACTTCCTTTGCCCTGAACTCTTTATCTTTTCAGAAAGAATGAATACATTTTTGGGCATAAATACATTACACATACACTGCAGAGGCCTCTAGGCGTTACATACAGTATAGTATTTGCAAAATCTATGCACCAAAATTGATACGGCAGTTTTAATACGATGTATATGAAACAAGTCTAAAATTCACATTACAGCATAGCTGGTCTCTGTGCTGAGCATGGAGCCTGCTTGGGACTCTCTCTCTCTCTCTCTCTCTCTCTCTCTCTCTCTCCCCCCTCTTGTGCTCTCTCTCTAAAATAAAATCGAAATAAAAAAATAAAATTTACAATGCAGGAAGACACGCAGTGATCCCCCCCACCCCCGAAGTTGAAAAGCTTGGAGTGGGTGCCCAACAACGTGGGAAGCCGCGCAGGGCTGACGCTCAGAGGCACTCGGCGCCCGGCTCCGTCAGCAGGAGGACTGAGCCCTGCGGCCAGAGATGCTGCCAGCATTCCAAGCTGATTAAGAGCAAGGCAGACGATATGAAAAAAAAAGATTTTTTTTTTAATGTTTTCTTCTTAAATGCCCTGAACCTCTTTCCTGCATGCGGCTCTTTCCTGTATTTTGGATGGTTTCCTTACATTCCCAGAAGTGTACTTACTGGATTAAAGGTGCGGGAAGTAAAAGGTACTTGAAACACATTTCCAGATCGCTCTCAGGAAGGACCCGACGGCCCCCGGCCCCGCCAGCCCCTCCCGTGGCCGCACTGGCAACAGGAGATACTCTTTTCCACTCCTCTTGCTCTCAGAAGCTTCCTCACTGTTTTGCATCAGTAACGTGTGAGAACCCAGTTGCCCGAGGGCTGATTGGGGGGCCGTCAGTCTCCCAGCACAGGCCCGTGGAGAGAGCGCAGCCCCTCCCTTACTGGTAATTCCTGTCCGACTTGCATGTTTCTCTTACCATTTTTTTTGAGGAGGGGAGGATTATTTTTTTTAAATAATCCATTTGGAAACCTTTATGGGAGCTTGCTCTGTTTTCCTCTTATTGTGGTAAAACACACGTGACACGTGACCTAACATTTCCCGTCCTGACCACTGTGAAGTGCACAGCTCAGTGGCATTAAGGACGTTCACGCAATCGTGCAGCCGTCCCCACCCTCCGCCCCGGCACTTTCTCGTCCTCCCCGGCGGAAACCGGCCCCGTGACACCCTAACTGCCCCCCACCCCCACTCCGGCCCCGGCTCGCACCACCCTCCTCTCTGCCCTGGGCATCGGTCTCCTCCAGGGACCTCATACAAATGAAATCACACACTTTTAATGCCTGTTTATTTCTTTCCGTGTTTATTCCTATCTTTGCCCCCGGCCCCTGGTCACTACCCAGGAGCACGGGAGGGACCACATCCTGGGGCCGGCCCTCTGGGTCAGGGGGCCGGCACGCCTGACAGCTTGGGGAGGGGTGCGCTGGCCGAGCCTTCCCCAGCACGTGGGGGGGGCGCCTGGCCCGCAAACCCCACCCCACTCCCGGCCGTTTCTCTTCTAGACCCTGAGCCCCCAGAAGCGAGCGTTCATTCTGGAGGTGCTGTCTGGGTGCCTTGAGTACCGGAGGCTGCTGGCCGTGGTGGTGGACGCCTTCTACGCGCGGGCCGGCTGCCTCTGCCCCCATGCCGACTACAGCCTCTTTGAGGGTAGGTGTCCCGTGCACGAGGGCACAGACCCACAGCAGTGGCGATGACCTAGTGAAGCAGCTGCAGGCAGTGCTCCTGAGGCTCGTGCCGGACGCCAGCCCCTGGCGCTTCTGCAGCGCGCGTGCTTTCCGGGGTCTCACCCGGCCCCTCACTCATCAGATCCTCACGGCTGCCTTGAGTGACTGGGCCAGGGTCTGCCTTACAGACAAGGAAACAGACCCCAGGCTCCCTGAAGGCCGGCCTGGGGGAGATGACGGACCTTTATCATCCGCCAAGTTCCTGGCCCCCCCACCCCCGAGGATGTAGGGCAGGGCCAGCCTCGTGGCCGCAGTGTGGACTGTCCAGCAGGGGGTTAAATGTGAGATGTCTCTGCCTGGCTTCCTGCAGGCCCTGCACGGCCACCAGCTTCCGAGGTGAACGTTGCGGGCAGGCTGGTCAGAGTTTCCGGGTGGGCGTGCTGGTTCAGCCCCAGAGCCCGCGCTGGGCCTCGGAGCCCCTGGTCAGGGGGAGCCATGGGGACGGCAGGGTGCAGGGGGGCTGAGCCTGGGGCCCGATGCCAGGCCGGGTGCCCACGCCCCCGACGCTCAGCCAGGTGTCATGGCCAGCAGCGCATCACCGGCCCGCCCGTGTCACCAACGGCCCCTGCCCGGGCGCCTCACCCACCCAGGTGTTCACGTCCCGCTTGGCTTGAGGCCCCCCGTCTCCCAGAATTAACTAACTGAAATCCGAAGTGATTGTCCTGTTGCCCAGGGAACTTTTGGAACTTCTGAGCACGCGCCACACGTGAGCGTATGTGGAAGTCGGTGCTTTGACAGACCCCCCGACGCTCACTGTGTGAGCTGTCACCAGATTCGCCCGTCATCTTGTCGTTTTCACGCGGCGCCAGGGGGAGCTCCCGCCTGTGGTCACCTCCCCTGCTGGCGCTGTCCCGGTCGGGCCTCTGGCTGATCCCCCGAGATGGAGTGCGAGGGGGCGCAGGGTGACGCCCTGGGGCCGGCCCCAACTCACCGGCCCCGTTTCCTCAGTGATCTGCTACCTGGCCACCTTCCAGCTGGAGGAACTGGGCTTTCAGCTCTTCTGTGACATCGTCAGGTCGCAGCCCGTGGACAAGATGCGCAAGGTGAGCCCTACGTGTCCTTCCTAAACGCAAGGGCAAAGGTGGGTCCCACCCAGCCGCCCTCTCACCTTTCTGGCTCATTGCAACGGAAGAGACTCTGGGGCTTGCTGTGTGCTTGTGACAAACAGGTGCCCTCAGATCTGCAGAGGGCTGCCTTTGTCCCAGGGGCGTGGGGGGGTGACTGACTCTCGTCACTTAGGTCCTGGTGGGTGGGGAGTCTGGACCGGAACCTTCCCTTCTCTCTCGTGACCAAGCTCCCCTCTCCGAGAGAGGCAGTGCTTGAGGGCTGGGGGCCAGGCAAGGGGGCGGGTCCGAGTGGGCCCTGAGGATGGGCGCCCAGCCTCCTGCCCGGCCACGGCCCCTTCTGTGGCCTGAGCCTGAGGCCCACCGTTCCTCAGTGGCCAGCCCCCACGGAACACCTGCCGTGGGCCAGGCATCGTCTGTGAGCAGTTCTTGCTTCATCCTCACAATGACGCAGGGAGGTGGCCCCACGAGGCACTCATCCCACAGTTGAGGGACCTGAGGCACAGAGAGGCTGGGTGACTTACCCAACACCACACAGCAGATGAGCAGCAGAGCCCGTTCTTGGACCAGGCTTTTAACCACTGCCTTGCTCCTCCTCACTGGGCTCGGGGGCCGTCACCAGACCAGGGCAGTGACTCCTGGGGACGAGCGGGGACATCACTCCAGGGGCCTCTCCAGGGGAAGCAGCAGCCCCTGCAGACGGTTCAGGGGGAGCGGGGGTGGAAGCGGGGGACGGACGCCCACTAGGACCACAGCCCCCAGAGATGCAGCACCGGAGACGGGCACAGCACCGGCCGCCTAACGGGAGAAAGTGCCTGCCCAAGGCCGTGGTTTGTGTTTAATGATGAGATTTCCTATCTACATGTAAATGAGCAATTCACAGGGATAAATATTTGCGTAATTATCTTAAAGTCTTCATCTTTCTATAAAAAAGAAGCAAAATTGCAGGCATTTTCTGAGAGCCGTCAGCAGGCGCCCAGGGCCCGCTTCCAGGGCTCGGGGGGCCGGTGCTCAGCTCATGCTCTGCTGTCAGAGTTGTGGGATTCTGAAAGATTGTTGAACAAGGGGGCCTGTGTGTCACTTTGCACTGGGTCCCGCAGGGCAGGAGCTGGCCCTAGACCAACCTTGGTCTGGAGAACCCGGAGGGGGTGACACGGGACCCCCCCCCCGGGGCTGCCCCCCCCATGCAGACCTGGGACAGGTACACAGAGAGCTGGTCACACGTGGCCAGCCCAGTGCCCCCAGTGCAGGTGGCTGGGCATTTACCTCCCTGGAGATTTTCTGGAAGAGATTCGTGGAAACTGCCCACGCCAACTCCCACGGGAGCTGGGGAGCTGCAGGGGTGGGCGGCACCCTGCGCAGGGCCTTCTCTCCTCTGCTCATGCCCCCTGTCCCATTGGGCCCACCCGCCTCCAGCCTCTAGAGGAGAGGTCAGCCTGGGCCTCGAAGACAGGGCACAAGCTGTTGGGGACAGGATGGCTGCCCTGGGGCCTCTCTGGGCAGCAGGGAGGAGGTGGTGATCAGCTCAGCGTGCCCAGGCTGGTTCTCAGGCAGCCTCTGTCGGGGCCTCCGCAGGACGCGGAGCTGGATGTGGCTGCAGCTGGCCTGTCACCTGGGGCAGGTGGCCATCCTGCTGGCTCCAAGGACCCCCACTTACATGCAGGAACCCTCCAGAGGGCCAGAGAGCCCAGCCCAGAGCCCTGCCCCCATACCCCGCGACAATGGCCACCTGATTCTGGAGAGCCCTCCCCAGGGGTGTGAGCAGGGGTGTGTCCCATGGGGACAGCACACCCACTGAGATGCTGAGTGGGAGGGCAGGATGGAGCATCAGGGAGCACCAGCCAGGAGCCCAGGGGCAAGAGGTGTCCCCAGTGCCAGACAGCAGGAAGCCCACGGCCCCTCAGGCAGCGATGCAATGGGGAGGGCAGGAGAGAGGTGACTGGAGGGGAGGGGCGGTTCCTGGGGAAGCAGCAGCAGCAGCCAGGGTCCTGTCCTTGCGTTCGGCTCCCCCACTGCCTGTTCACGGCGTCTGCAGGGACCCCGGGCATCGCGCCCACCCATGAGCATGCAGCAGTTAACACCGACTGCAGCCACCTCAACCTGGGAGCCCCGAGAGTCAGGCTTCTCCAGCTCTGTGGGCCCAGATCTGTGGACGGTGCTGGGGTGGAGCCCAGAGGCCCAGAGCGAGGACCCACCTGCTGATTCATGACTCCCTCCCCAGTAAACGCCTGCTCCCCAAGGCTCACAGCTCAAAGGTGTGCTTTTGGGGCCCCAGAGGGAGCATCATGTTTCCTGTGTCCACACAAAGCTCTTCTGGGGGTTCCAGCGCGTGGCCTCCCCTTGCCGCCGGTTTCCCGGGAGCCTGGTTTGAATGGTCTGCAGTGGTGCCCTTGCCTAGACAAGGCCCTGCAGACCGGAGCGTGGCTTCGGCTGGGTGGACACCTCTCCAGAGCAGCACCGCCACAGGCCCAAGCGTGGCTGCCCCTCAGACGAGGGTGGGGGCCTGAGCTTCCGTCCTGGGGCCACAACCACCTAGCCGACTGCCTGCCCACTCTGTAGAAGCACGTCCCCCCCCCCCAAGACAGCCGGCCTCCATGAGAAGCTAAACTGTACTGTGTCTTCTAGAACCAAATCTGTTAGACTTGAGGGCCAGGACTAGAAAACAGCCTGCAGGGGCCCACAGCCGCTGGGAAGCTCCTGCTGTGTGGGGTCCAGGCCATCCCAAGGGCACACCAGGCCCCGCCCGGGAATGACATCCTCAGTCCCCTTGAGGGACTGAGTGGGCAGGTCACTCCGGGGGCCCACCCACTGGCGCTGTCCTGGGCAAGCAAGGGCAAGTGGCAGAAAATGGTGCACCTCCATTCTAGGAATTCTGGAGCCCATGGGTGGGGGTAGGGGAGGCAGGCCACCGTCCATCTGTCCTCACCAGGAACTCTCCGGAAGTGGGGTGTGGGCCTTCCAGGTCCTGGGCAGGTGACTCAAGCAGAGGATCCCACCGGCAGGGACGTGCCCCAGGACTGGAGCGGGCTGCCCTGAACACCCAGAGGCCGTGAGCAGAAGCCAGCATGGCGAGGGGCAGCCCCCCAGCACAGGCACCCCAGCCCAGCATGGGGGCAGGCCAGCGGGGCTCGGGCTCCCCTCTCTGATCTGGGGAGGGAGGGTCTGTCCCGAGGGGCCTCCTGCCCTGGACCAGCCCCCCCTCAATGGTTCCTGCTTCTCCCTCAGTTCCTGGGATTCTTCTTCAACCCCATAAACCTGTGCTCGTGGATCAAGGATGAGTGGAGTCTCATCTACGAGATAGCCCATGTGCGAGAGAACTGGATCGACCCCCTGATGAGGTGGGCCAGGCCGGGGCCCCCCTGCACCCCACTCCCCGAAGCCCCCCCTTGTCCCTGCGCCCCATAACAGGCTCGGCCAAACGCCGGTTTCACCGGTGCAGGCCGGGACCCACGGGCAGAAGGACCAGCGCAGTGGCCCAGCGCTGCCCTTGGCCTCCGCACGAGGCTGCTGGGGTCAGGGTGAAGTTGGCCCTGTCGCTTCCCGTCTGATAGGGCTGGGGGAGCCGCCTTGTCTTCCTGGGGATGGACAGACTGTTCTGGCACAAGCAGACCTTTTCAGGTACCCGCTGTGTGCAGAGACCCAGAGGCTGGGGGGAGCCCCTCTGTGGGAGACAAAACCGTGTCCCTGGGGTCTCGGCGTGGCCCTGGAGCTGCCCCTTCCCCCAGAGAAAGCCCTCAGGCCCAGCCAGGCTGGACTCACTGCCCGTCCACGGGGCTACCTGGGGGTTCAGCCTGGTTCCAGGGTGCCCCCCACCCGCCTCAGCACTGCCACATGCAGCCCCATACCAGACCCGCCCTGTCCCGCCTCCCCCTCCGGAAACCTCACTCACTGTCGGCCCTCGGAAGTGCCCTTCCTCCCTCTGGTGGCCCTGGTCCTCGAGCTTGGGGCGGGAGCTATAGAAACCATGCTGTCTGTCCTCAGGGGAGCCCCGCTGGCCAGGCTGGTAATGGGGATGGGCCCGCCTGGCTGTGGGGCACAGACCCCTGCTCCAGGGACCCCCCCACACCAGGCTCCACCCTGCTCCTGTAGCCCCTTCCCCAGCTGTCGCCAACGGTGCAGCTCCAGAACATTCCAGGCATCTCCAGCTTCTCCCGACCTCCTTCCCCGGGGCCCAGATGAGCTCCACGCCCCTCCTGCTGCTCCTCCTCAGGCCCCTGGATCCCCGCAGCCGGGGCCTCTCTGTCTCTGTCCTCCCAGCCCCCCACACAGCCCCCCAGGTGCCGGCCTCGGTTCCTCGCCCGTCTGTGTGACTCGGGGCGCGGCTGGTACAGTGCCCGGGGCGTAGTCGGCCTCAGGGGAGGGCAGCTATTGGTTCCGTCATCTCCCCGCACCCTGGGGCAGACCCAAGGTGTCTCGGGTCCCTTGGCTCCCGAGGGCTGTGCCCTAGTTGACCTTAGGAAGTGGCCCTAAGTGGCTGCTCTCACCTTTGCCTTCAAGATGGCAGCCGGAGGTCCAGGAGCTGATCGACCAGCTAGAGGAAGTGTTGGCCCATCAGCCCACTCCTTCCAAGACCAAGGCCAAGGTCACAGAGCCCAAGGAGTTCAAACTGACCGTCCCCAGGCCCCGCGCCATTCCAGTGCCTGAGCCAATCCCCAGCGTGGCCAAGTCGAAACCAGTAAGTGCGGACATTTGCACATTTGCAGTGAGCACGGCCCGTCCAGGCTGGGAGAGTGGAGTCCGTGAGCCAGAGGCAGGCTGGGCTCTTCCCGGGTGCACTGGACCAGACTAGGAGCCTTCGGTGACCCCACGTCTCTGTGGGGAAGCCCAGCTGACCTGGGCCTGCCCAGCGAATTCCTGTGCTCCACATGCCAAGGCCTGGGCAGCAGAGATGAAGTGAGGCTGTGGGGCCACGGGGCTCAGACCTGCCCAGACCTGGTATCTGGAGTGTGCTTGTAACCTGCTGCATCGAGGTCTCCCTCCCTATTAAACAGCACACCCATAGATCGCAATATGCTCTCTGTGCTATTCAGGCCACGGGCAGGTGATAGTGTCTGTGTGAACCCATCATGTTGACCTGTCCCCACCCCAGGGCCTTTGCACACCTGTCCCATCTGCCTAGAGCCTCTCCCTCTCCTTCTCCCTCTCTCTCTCCCCACCTTGCTGACTTCTCCTGCCAGTCCGGTTGCTTTGTATTTCAAGTAACAGAGAAAAGCAGCTCAATCTGGTATAGACCATAGAGGACTAGCTGACTCTTGGCTGAGTAGGATAGGCCTTGGGCATAGTTTGATCAGACTTCTAGCTGTGCTTCTGTGGGTCACCGTTATCTTTGGGCAAACTTCCCTCATTGTAGCAAACGACCCAGGCCTTCCCCGTACTCGAAACCATCCAGGGCATGAGGGCACATCTGGGGCCAAGAATTCTCAGGCCGCCTGCCTCCCTTGAGCTGATCGCCATGACAGGGATGCGATGTTCTGGCTGATCGTGGTCTCTACCCCACGCGCCTGGGGTGGGGCCAGCTTGGTTTCCTCACAGTCTGGTTTCCTCACAGAGTTAAGGACCTCATGGAGGGGAAGGGAGCGGAGCCGGGAGGCCCCAGGTCCCAGCCCACCCCCACCACCTTCAGCCTCATTGCAACCTCTCTGCCCAGAGAGACTTTCCACGAGCCCATCGCCTGTAGCAGGTCCCTCGAGTACCCCACGCTCCTCAGACACACCGGGCACCGGGCAAGGAGTTAGGGTCTGGAGCTCAGGCGTTTCCAGGCTGTCCCTGCCCACCCCCACGGACGCTGCTCCCTCCAGGCTGCTGACGGTCCCCGTGACTGGGCCCTGTGGATGGCTCTCAGGCCACCCCGGTCGCTGCAGTCGTCATGCCGTGGCCCCTCCCCCTCCCTGGCACTCACTTTTCTGGGTGACACTTGCCCGGCCTCACTGGCCCCTCCACGCCTCCCCCCTCGTGCCCTGCCTGCTCGGTGGTCCTCTGCCTGTTCCCCAGCGTCTGCCGGGCCTGGACCCCCTGCTTGGCCACCTTCCTTCTTGCCGCTGGCCTGACGTCCTTCCTTTCCCTCCCCTGGATGATCACCGGCACCCAGGGGGTCCCGGTCAGAGCTCAGCAGCCTCCCTCCCAGCCCTGCTTCTGCTGGCACGGGCACCACCCTCTCTTCACCCACGTCCCTCTAGCTGCCAGCCTGGCCTCCCACACACCCCAGAAACCATAGCCCTGACCCCAGGCTGTGCCTTGGGCCACCCCCCCACCCAGGTCCCCAGGAGCACCTACCTGCAGCCCAAGGAGCAGCAGCTGCTAGAGGTGACCAAGAGACACAATCGCTGGAAGGCGGAGGTGAGGAGCCGCACACGCCCCCTGCCTTCCTAGGCCCCCGGGGGGGGGGGGGGGGGTGTTCCGTGAGAAGGATGTGGGGGAGGGGGTGCGGAGGAAGAGCGGGGAAGCTGGTGTGTGCCTTCGTCCCTCCTGGGGCCCAAGGACACTGGGCGGTGCCCGCGGGGCCAGAGCCCTGTGCTGCCGCTTGCAGGAGCTGCTGCTCAGGGCGAACATCGAGGAGCTGCGGTGCGCGGTGCCCAGGTCCCGGGGGGAGCCCCTGACGCAGGTAACGCCAGCCCTCCTTGCCCTGCGTGGCCTCTCACAGCACGAGAAGGTCCCTCCCTGTGCCCCTTCTTCAGCCTGTCGGGTCTCAGCTCCCCAAGCCGAGCTGAGCGCAGCCTGGGGGGGCAGGTGCAGACGCACCCCCAAATCCACGCGGGCACGCGTCTGCATCCCTCTCTCCGGGTGTTCCCAGATTCCCATACTGAGCACTTACTGTTTCCATAAGAAAAAAACAAAAAAGCCCAGGTAAGTCTGTCAATAAGGAAAAGGTAAAGGACGCAGGACAAGGAAGCCCCGTCGGTGATGGAGCTCCGTCCCGAGGAGCTGGGCCTGCCCTGCCCCCCCAGGCTGCCCTCCACACCGTGGGCCCCCCAGCGGTGCCCTGGCCCCCACAAGCAGCTGGGGCGGGCGGAGCGGCGCCCAGGGGGTGGGGGCTGTGCTGACTGAGTTCCAAGGGGTGCGGTGGGCCCACCGCTCCGCACTCGGGCTGTGGGAGCACCCCAGGGCAGCAGCAGGCAGAGAGCGTCTTGGGTAGCGGCCAGGAAAGGTCGTGGAAGCCAGCGCCAGGGAGCCACCATGGGGACAGGGCCTGAGCCCGGAGGTTCAAGCGCCCCTGACTGGGAGCTGTCGTCCCCCGGCCTGGCAGGCTGACACCCGGAAAGGCTGGGGAGGGCACGGAGACACAGGTGTGTCCCGGAACCCCTGAGCGGGGGGTGGCGGGGAACACACGGGTGAGGACAGGGGAGCACGCGGGCCCTCCCGGGGGTGCTGGGCCCTCCGTTCCCCCAGGGTGCGTCCAAGGGCACCCAGTGGGCACAGGCGCCCGGCCTGATTCCCGCAGGGCTCCCAGAAGCAGAAGCAGCTCCGGCTCATGCCCCGAATCCTTAGGACTCCGAAGCTGACCTTCTACAAGGTGAGGGGTGCTCCTGACCGGCCAGGGTGGGCACGGGGTGCCCGTTCTAGTCCCCTCTCCCTGGACCCTCGCCTCCTGGCCAGGTCTGTGCCCAGAGGATCAGGTGGCCAGAGCTGGCAGCCCTGAGGAAGGCCCCACCCTCGAGGCAGAGGGGCAAGTGTGGGCGGCAGGAGGCACCTGCTGGCCCGACCCTCCCGCACCAGCCACGGGTCTGCAGCCGGCCCCTCCTCTCCCCTGCAGACCAGCAACGTCCCCGTGAAGCTCAACACGGCCGCCATCCTGCGGGAAGGGTCTTTATACCAGCGGCAGGTGGAGAAAGAGCTGGAGAGGTGGGGGGCAGCTCCTCAGCCCCCTTCAGAGGAGGGGGTGCAGGGACTGCTCTTCTGGGAGAGGAGGGGTTTCCAGCAGGGGGAAGGCGGGGCCTGCTGTGAGGTTCACGGCTGCTTCCAAGAAAGACCATGCGCTCAGTGAGGGAAACTGGGCAGAAGGAGGCTTAGCAGAAAGCTGGCCCAGCCCAAACCTCTCCCAGGGTCACCTTCCCTTCAGACCCCCCCGAGGGCCCCCGCCGACCACCAGCACCGCGGCCCCTGTGCTTACCCCATGAGTTGTGCTGTGGGTGGGAGTGTGGGTGGCTGACCGGATGGAAGAGAGGATGGACAGGTGGACAGACGGGTGGGTAGACGAACGGGTGGCCGAAGGGTGGAGACACGGGCCAAGGCCAGGTGGGTGGTGGGTGGCGAGCGGGTGCTATGGCCCACGTAGGGCGAATAGCTCCCTGCGCCCGTGAGGCCAGCACCCCCAGGGAACCTGTGCGCCCCCACCCCCGTGGCCAGCAAGGCCCCCACTCTTGCGCCCTCTCCCCAGGGTGGATAAGCTTGTGGATGGGGCCGGGGACTTCTCCGAGTTCCTCGAGTGGCAGAGGAAGGTGCAGGCGGAGGACCGGGCAGAGCAGCTGGCCGCGGGCGAGTGCCGCCGGCTGCAGGGGAAACTCAGCCACGAGGAGGCCATCCTGGCCCGGCGGCACCTGGCGCAGGGCAACAAGCAGAAGGCCGACCAGAAGAAGGAGGAGGTGACGCAGCCTCGCGGGGGCAGCCGGGACGTGGGGAGGGGCGGGGGGCGGTCGGCGGGCTGTGACATCTCCTGGGGCTGCGGCTTGAGGGCTGACCCCAGGCCATTTTCTCCTAAGACCGTAGGGCGGCTGTGGTTTCTCTTTCCGCACCTTCACAGGTTGGGAGTTAGAGGCTGTCTGGGTGGACCGTCCGGCCAGCACTTGTGGTCCAGGCTGTGCCCCGCCCCCCACGAGCAGGGGCAGTGGGCCCACACGTCCACACACGAAGGAGGATCTGAGGGTGGCAGAAACTTCTGGAAAGGCGACACATTTGCGTACGGGGTCCTCTCCCATAGGGGGTCTGCTGGCATCTTCAGCAGCTCTGGTCTCAGTCCTGGCTCTGCCTCCTCCTGGGACAGGCGGCCTGGGCGGGGGCCCCCATTGCATCTCCCTGAAAGTCTGTTCCTTGCAGGGGCCCCCACGTGGCCTGGGCTCCACAGGCCTGACTTGAGCTCTGCTGTCCCCAGACGTGTGCCCCTAGGGCCCTGCGGTCAGGGACGGGGGGCGGGGGGGGGGGGGGGGGGGGACGTGCTCAAAGTTCGCTCGAATGCCCTTTGGAGAACTTGTTTGTGTCTGTTTGAATTTGATGTTAGGGTTTGCTTGTCCTTCCTTTTTATTTTTTTACAAATAGGAAGTCAAAGCGATCTGAAAAGTAGAGAAGTGTCACTTCTCGTGAGCTCCTTGCCACCTTCCCACCTCAGTTCTTACTGTCATTAATCTCTGGATCATCTTTCCTTCTAAGCAAGCGCGTACACATCCTTCCCCACTCCCTCTTCCCTCACATAAAATGCCTGCTTATCTGCGATGGGAAACGCTGGGCTAGTTTTCTGTGTTTGTGGAGAGAGGTTTTCAAGGAAGCTTCTAGAGGGGACATCGCTAAGCCCCAAAGTGACTGAGAGCGGGGCTTGGTCCTCGCTGTTCGGGCACATGGTGTCATCACCTTCCTCGGGGGAGCGGGCGGGGGTGGAGCCCCAGGACCGCGGGCAGAGTGTGCCGTGCTGACTTCAGAAATGTTTGCTCATCTGGCAGGTGCCAAACAGCACCTCAGTGCGGTGCTGATTGCACTTCATTGATTATGTGTGAATTTGAGCGTGTCGCCATGTGTTTAAGCGCCGTCCCTGTATCTTTCCCTGTGAACGACCTGTTCGTGGCTGTTCTCCCTGTTCTCGCGGCTCTACTGCGGCACGATTGACGAGTGAAGCTTGTGTCTGTTGAAGGTCCGTGACAGGGCGCTCGGCACACACGGAGCTAATTGCCGCCTCCGTCCCCTCCGAGGCCACCTCCTCCGCCTGTGGCTGGAACACGGGACATCTCTCTTAGCAAATTTCACGTACACGTTGTTATGAACTGCAGTCACCGCCCTGTCCTTTAGGTCTCCGGAACGTGCCCATCGTCTAACAGACTTCGCGCACTTGGACCATGCCCGAGGCTCTGGCCTCTCGTAAGTTTCCACACGGCAACTGTCCTTCTGTGCCTCGCTTATCTCACCTGGCATTATGTGTTCCTGGTTTATCCATGTTTTTGCAAATGGCAGGAATTTCCCTCTCTTTTAAGGCTACAGAGTATTCTCATAGTCCTCTGTGAAGGGACACTTAGGTTGTTGCCATGTCTTGGCTATTGTGAACACTGCTGCAGTGAACATGGGGGTGCAGACATCTCCTCAAAGGAGTGATTTAATTTCCTTTGAATCTATACCAGAAGTGGGATTGCTTCTGGGTTCTTATTTTATTTTATTTTATTTTATTTTTTAATGTTTTATTTATTCCTGAGAGAGAGAGAGACAGCGTGAGCAGGGGAGGGGCAGAGAGTAAGGGAGATACAGAATCAGAAGCAGGCTCCAGGCTCTGAGCTGTCGGCACACAGCCCGATACAGGGCTCGAACCCACGAATGGTGAGATCATGACCTGAGCCAAAGTCAGATACTTAACCGACTGAGCCACCCAGATGCTGCTGGGTTCTAATTTTAAAACCAGTAGTTCCGGGGGCGCCTGTCTGGCTTAGCCGGTAGAGCATATGACTCTTGATTTGAAGGTCCTGAGTTTGAGACCCACATTGGCTGCAGAGATTACTTTTAAAAAACTGGTAATTCTATTTTTAATTTTTTTGAGGAAAAAAATTAAAATACTGTTTTCCACAATGACTGCACCAATTTACATTCCCACCAACAGCACACAGGATTCCCTTTTCTCCACATCCTTGCCAGCATTTGTTATCTTTTGACTTTTTTATGATGGCCATCCCAACGGGGGTGAGGTGATATCTCATTATGATTTTGATTTCCATTTCCCTGTTAATGAGTGGTGATGAGCATCTTTTCCTGTGTCTGTCGGCTATTTGTTTATCTTGGGGAAATGTCTGTTCAGATCCTTTGCCCATTTCTTAGGTTGGCTTTTTTTTTTTTTTTTACTATTAAGTTGTATGAGTACCTTATATTTTTTGGATATTAACCTCTTATCAGATATATAGTTTTCAAATGTTTTCTTCCATTCCATAGGTTGCCTTTTCATTTTGTTGGTTGTTTCCTTTACTGTGCAGAAACCTTTTTGTTTGATGTGGTCCCAGTAGTTCATTTTTGCTCTTGTTGCCTGTGCTTTTGATGTCAAAAAAAAAAAAAAAAAAAAAATCATTGCCAAAGCCAATATGAGGGAGTTTTTCTCCTGTTTTCTTCTAGGAGTTTGTGATTTCGGGTCTTGTGTTTAAATCTTTAATCCACTTTGAGTTGTTTTGTGTGTGTGAAGTAAGGTGAGGGTCCAATTTAATTCTTGTGTGTGTGAATGTTTGTTGAAGACACGGTCCTTTCCCTGCCAAGTGGTCTCGGCGCCTTCGCCAAAGATCACTTGAACATTTTCTAACGAGCTGTTAGCCTTCATTTCTTTGGTTTTTAAGAGTTCTTTACATATTACGGGCAGTAACTTTGCAGATATTTTCTTCCAATCTGTCACTTGACTTTGCTCGTGTGTTTCACCATGCAAATTTATCGATCTTTCCTTTTATCATGTCTGGACTTTGAAGAGCGCGGAGGAAGTTTTCCCCAAACTCGTGTTATAGAGCAATTTGGCTCGGTGTCCTCTTGTGTTTATATTTCATTTTTACACCTGGGTCTCTAATCCACTTGAAGGTTATTCTCAGACATGGTCTGGGGTCTGGACCCACCTCCATGGCCATCCAGCTGAGGCTTGCAATCCGTGAATGCAGTATGTCTCTCCATTTACTTAAATCTTTTATTTCTTTCATCTGTGTTGTATAGCTTTTAGCATCCAAGTCCTGGACATGTTCTGTTAGATTTGTGCCTAAGTGTTTCTTTAATTTTTTTTTTCTGAGTCATTTAAGTGGTGTTATATTTTTAATTCTGGCGTCTGTGTATCTGATGCTAGTATATTAAAACATAATTGACTTTTGTGTATTGATCTTATATCTCGTGACCTTGCTGAACCACCTTAAAATTTTTCTAGGACAAACAAGGCGTTTTGTCATAGATTCCTTGTGATTTTCTATGAAGACAATCATGTCATCTGTAAAGAATAGTTTATTTCTTAATCTCTGACCTACGTTCCTATCATTTGCTCCCCTAGCCTACTGCACTGGCTAGAACTTTCCAGTACTGTGTTGAATAAGAAAGAGCATACAAGGGCGCCTGGGTGGCTTAGTAGGTTAAGCCTCTGACTCTGCCTCAGGTTATGAGCTCACGGTTTGTGGGTTTGAGTCCTGTGTCGGGCTCTGTGCTGACAGCTTCCAATCTACTGTCCCATCCCAACCCCCTGCCCTTTGCACGTCTCTGGGGAACTGAGGAGATGGGTACATAAAGACACTGGCAAGGCCTGAGGTGGCAGAGCTGGTCCAGGCAGATGGCACTCACAGCGCAGTCTGTCCCCCCCAAGCCTCAGCCTTCTCCTTGGTCCTGTGCTGCCCCCACATCTGCCGCCCTCCCACCCCCATCCTGTGCACATTTACAGAGAGCCAGGAGACACTGCCTCTTCCCCTCCCTCCCTGTTTGTGTGTCCCCACTGTCCCCAAGCTGTGTCTGTGCTGTTCCCAAGGTGTGGTTGGGCAGGGGCCCTGGGACCTAGCAGGGCAGGCCTCCTCCGCCCACGATGGTTTGTGGTTTGTTCTTTCTTTGCTTGTAATCAACTCACTTGAAATAAGGCCCCTTGCAGATTCTAGCCGCCTACCTCTTTTCGCCTCATATTTCCACATAAGCATCTTCCCACTTATTACCAAGTTTTCAAAAGTACTTTTAACGATACACTTTTTACTTCAGAACAGTTTAAAGAGTTCTACAAAAGTTGCAAAGATGGTGCAGAGTTCCCATATCCTCCCACACAGCCGCCTCTGCTGGTGACGCCTCCCGTCCCTGTCCCCACGCTAGCTTTGAACGGCCGCCACAGGGAGGCACCGCAGACCTGACCACAGTTGCGGAGGCCCCAGGTCCAAGGTCAAGGACGGCGTGAACTGGGCCATGCTCTCTGCTAAGCTCCCTGGGGAGGATCCTTCCTTGCCTCTTCCGGCCTCCTCCGGTGCCCCCAGGAATTCCTGGTCTGTGGCAGCCCCACCCCCGTCTCCGCCTCCGTGCTCACATGGCCATGCATCCACGTCTCTCTGTGTCCCTCTCCTCTTCTTATAGGCCCTTGTCATTGGATTTAGGGCCCGCTGTAAACCCAGGGCGACTTCATCCTGAGATCCTCACCTAACTGGATGTGAGATCACATCCTGAGGTTCCAGGTGGACGTGAATTTGGGGGAAGCACTAACCCACTACACCGTGGTTTATCGGTCACAGAGTCACGTGACTCTTACCTGAACTCCACACTTTGCTTAGATTTCATCACATTTTCTCCCCACAAAGGCCCTCTTCCTGTTCCCGGACACCACATCACGTTTAACGGTCATGCTTCAGACTCTTCTTAGCTGTAGCAGTTTCTCAGACTTTCCTGGTTTTTGATGACCTTGACAGTTTCAAGGAGAGCGGGTCAGGTATTCTATCGGATGCCCCTAAGCTGGGACATGTCTGATGTTCCCCACCATGTCATGGTTAGATTGGGGTTGTGGGTTTGGGGGGAGGACCATCACAGCCTGTCAGAGGCACCTGCTGTCAACGAGCTCTTTATTGTGATGTTGACCTTGACCCCCTGGCCAAGGTCGTGCCTGCCAGGTTTCTCCACTGCAGTTATCTCCCCCTTTCCACATAGTGCCCTGTGGAAGGGGCTCTCTAGGCAAAGCCCACAGCCAGGAGGGGGCGACACTGAGAATTCTGCTGCACAGGGGACTTCTCCCCCACTTTCTTATTCATTCCATCGCCTCTTTCAGTGTGGACTCATATATTTATTTTACACCTTGTGTTATCAAAAGCGTTACTTTGTGGCAAGCTTTGGCCTTTGGGGCCCCTTCAGGGTGACCTCCTGTGTCCGTCTGCCTGCCCTCTGTCCTTCCTTACTTTGGGACACAAGAAAATGCACCAGGCTCACCTGCTGTTTTCCCTGTCCCAGCCCTAAGATAAGCGCTTTCCCCGAGAGCCCTGGTTCCCTTTCTTAGAACCTTGGACAAAACTATGAATCGAAAGGGATGGTTGAGAGGCATTTTTGATACACGCCGCAAATTGTTTTACAAAAGGATTGCTTCGTGCCCAGTGTCTAAAGCTGAAGTCCACGCTACCTGCACGCTGATTCTCCACTTACGGTGCAGCCGAAGATGAGCCCAGGTCACGCAGGCTGCCAGGGGCAGGAAGGTCCATCGCTCCTGGCCCCCCAGGGCCGGCGACAGGAGGCGTAAATCCCACACTGTGCATTGCAGTAGCTGGAGGATGAACACCGTTTTTATGAATTGTTCACGGTAGCGCCAGACTGGAAGCAGTCTGCATGTCCATCCACAGCAGAACGGATGAAAACATGTGATATATTCCCCAAAACACACAGCCACAAAAATAAGCCACCTACAGCCCAGGCGATAGTGAGTATGAAGCTAACGAAGGCAGCGGGGAGCCACAGAGGCACGACGCAAGCAGACCCACCGGAGGGGTCCAGTCACATGTGACAAAGCGGCAAAGCCACAGCCGGTCCCGTTGTTTAAGACTCGGACCTGAAACAGCAAGAGAAAGAAGAGAGTGGGGTGACCAGCAGGATGTGCCTGGGGGCTCATGTGACAGGGACCCTGAGGCTGCCCAGGGGCCTGGCACGTCCTGGGCTCCATGTGGCTTCAAAGCATTGAGCACCCTCCTCTCTCAACTGGAGTCCAGGGGTGGGTGGGCTTCGGGCAGACCCAATGGCTCGGACTTGACTTCCCCAGGACCACAGCGCAGGAAGGGGGGACACGGGGTGGAGCTTCCCCAGTGGGCCTGACCTCCGGGGCCCCCGGAGCTGCTGAGCTCCATCTGCACTCCAGGGTGATGCGGGCTCACCTCATGCTGTTCCTGGGGCTGGGGCAGAGCGGGGCAGCGGCCTGCTGGGGGGGGGGGGGGCGCTGTGGTGGGGGGGCACTGTGGTGGGGTCAGGGGGCGCTGCGGTGGGGGGGCCCTGTGGGGGGGGGCCTGCGGCTCTGACCGTGGCGGGCCGCTGGTCTGAGCAGACGGCCGAGCTGATGCAGCAGTGTGCTGAGAGGCGCCTCCAGGAGGAAATGTCCCTGAAGGAGCAGGTGCAGCAGGTGGTGGAGGTGCAGAGGAACGTGAAGGCAGCGCAGATGAAGCTCCTGAGAGGCCGGCAGCAGATAGGTACGGCGGGGGGCCGGCCCTGCTCCCCCAGCGCGGGTCCCGGGCCGCCTCCTGCCCCAAGTGGCCGCTGTGGTCGCCGAGAGCCCAGGGCCCGCGAGGGAAGGCTGGGCTTGGGCAGGCCACCCTGTGACCCCTCAGCACCCCGCTTGGCCCTCAAGTTCAGGAGGTGATGGAGGAGAGCCGGGAGCTGCTGCAGCGCAGCGCAGAGGCGGCCAAGGAGGAGCAGAGGCGGCGCTGCGAGCTCATCGCTCAGCTGCGCGCCCTGGAGACGCAGCCCGTGCGCAAGGGCAAGCTTGTGGACCTGACCCAGGTGAGGACGCGGCCCGACCTGGGAAGCCTCCGCACGTCTTGCTGCGTCTGGGGTTGCCAGGGGAGGCCGTGTTCAGAATGCCCAGTGGGGCCACAGGAGGTCTGGCCCCCGGCCGAGAGCCAGCTGCACAAGTGGCGAGCCCGCTGTGGACGCTGCGCCTGCCCTGCAGGAGGCCCGGGATTGGCCCAGGGTTCATGATCATGTCAGGGTGACCACGTGAGCTCTGGGGGCAGGAGGCCAGGGCCCCTGGGAGTGGGCCAGGTAGGCTTCATGTTAAAGGAGGTCCGGGACCCCCAGGCCCGGGTGGAAAGAGCAGTGTAGGGAGGGCGCAGGTGCACATAGGCTGGGTGAGAGGAAGGCCCCAGGGCCTGGAGGCCCGTGTGAACAGCACCCTGGGAGGCCAGGCTGGCATCCGGTGAGGCGGGAGCAGGCCTGCAGGGCCCCGGGAGCTGGTGTGGGAGCCTGGCCGGATCCCAGGGAAGGCGGGGAGTCCGCAGGGCATTCTGCACAGGCCCCCCGGGGTCCTGGCTTGGGGAGACAGTGCTGAGCAACATGTGGGCCCCACCTCAGGGCACCCAGCTGAGATGTGCGGTCACCAGAGGGGGACAGAGGCTGGAGAGGCCGAATGGCAGGCACCTTGCACAGGTGCTGCCGAGGCGGGGGAAGGCGGGGCCCAGGGGCCAGACCGCTGGAACCTGGGGAAGGGGCACCCGCCTTGGCGCCGCGGACAGGTCAGGGCCCCGCAGAAAGCGGTGCCGGCTGGAGTGGGCCTGACGCCTGGCTGCGGGCCTCCCCGTCACCCTGCAGACCCCTGGGTATGGCCTGGAAGGGGAGATGTCCGTGGTGGAGCTTCGTGAGCGGCTGGCCCTGCGCAAGGAGAGCCAGAGGCGCGAGGAGGAAGAGAAGCGAGACCAGATCATCCAGGGCAAGCGCGCCCGAAGCCAGGGACTGCAGAACGTGGTGGAGCGGATCTCGCTGTGCCGCGCGGCCATGGGCAGATCCGCCGCCCTGAGGTGGGTACCGGTGGCCCCGGGGTGCAGGTGACTTAGGCAGGAGCAGGGAGCGAGCCTGCCTTTGCGACCTCCTGGGTGGGTTCTACGTGCAACAACACTCCGCCCTTCTGCCCAGGCCGTTCCCTTGCCGTAACTTCTCCCACCTCTACTATTGTGTTCGATAATCTTCAGACATACAAACATGGCAACAAAAATCATGCAACGATGGCCTGGATGCAAAATGATGGCACGTAGCTCGTGAGCATGACCTTTGCTGTGTGTTTCATCTAGCTAGCTACTTCCTCTGTCCCTGCAGAACTATTCGGAAGGAGTTGCAGGCATCAGGCACTTGACTCCTAAACACTCTGGTGTGTGTCTTCTGAAAAAAGACATTGTCCTACATAACCACAGCACACTGACACAACTAGAAAATTAACAAAAATTCCCATGATCTCAATATCCTGTCCGTATTCATGTTTCTCTAGTGTCCTAAGACTGTTCACTATGATTTTTTAATTTTTTTAAGTTTATTTATTTTGAGAGAGAGAGTGCATGTGAGAGTAGAGTAGAGGCAGAGAGGGGAGAATCCCAAGCAGGCTCCACACTGTCAGCACCAGGCCTGACATGGGGCTCGAACTCACGATGCAGATCATGACCAGAGCCAAACCCAAGAGTCAGACGCTTAACCCACTGAGCCCCCCAGGTGCCTGTTCACGATAACTTTTAAAAGATTGTTTGCTATAACTGTTTGTTTTTTTTCTTTTTCAACCAGAACCTGGCTGGGATTCACACATAGCATTTGATTGTCAAGCTTCTCAGCTTGACTTCCCTCTCTTAATGGAGAGCGTGTGCACGCATGCCCCTTTTGTTTCTAGAACACTGTGGTGTTCTTGTCTGTGGACTTGTCTAGCCTGTGTGTCTGTCCCGTGGCCAACCTTGGTCAGGCACAGGTTGGTGTCACCTGCCCCGGCCAGGCTGGCCTTTGGGCCTTGGCCTGATGCCCTAGGGAGGCAAGGCCGCCCCAGGGAAGAAGGCACCCAACCTGTCATAGCATAGCCGGGGCCAGGGCCTCACACACAGAGCTCCGGAAAGAAGTGTATAGCTGGGGTGGGGGTGGGGTGGGAGAGCGGGGTGGACAGAAGCAAGGAGAGTCACAAAATTCATCGCTTTTGGGGTGCCTGGCTGGCCACTCAGCAGGTCCCTAGGATGCCGTGTGTCCGGGACACCCGCCACTTCCAGCTGCTAGACTCAGCCTGACAGGCCTCACCCACCGTCCGGTTGGCACCCGGGAGCCTCCCAGGGTCCAAACCCACGAGCGCAGCTCCTGGAGCTCTGCGGGCGGCCAGGCTCCTGGCAGTAACCCGCCGGGACCTGCCTGGAGCCGGCGAGCAGGGATGGCGGCTGAGGCAACGGCACCCGCACGTGCCCTAATGCTGTGGGGTCCCCTAAACCAAAGCCACGGGGGAACAATCTGTATCATCAGGTCTCACTTTGGAAGAAAAACTGATCTAGAATGATAGAGATTTGCAAAGATCATAGCAGCGGCTGCCTCTGGGCAGGAGAGTGGCAGGGAGAGCGCCAGGTGGGCTCCGCATACCTACGGAGCCAAGATCCCTGGGATACATTTTTAAAACCTCAGGTACAGAGGCAGGAAGGGGGAGGCGCTGGGGGGACGTCACCCCAGAGGCCCTTGGAGAGCCTCTCCCCCCTGCACCTCCAACACTGTCACCACCCAGGTGGGAGGAGAAGAAGGCCGGGTGCGCGCCGCCGGCGCCCCCCCAGGACGAGCGCGTGCTCGAGCTGCGGCGCCAGGTGGAGGAGAAGGCGGCCGAGCGCCGCGGGCAGGCGGCCCTGCTGCCCGCACCGGCCCCGCGCGCCGCGCGCCCCCGGCCGCGGGTGAGCCCTGGGAGCGCGCGGGGAGGCCGGGGGCGCGGCGGCCCGGGGAGGGGGCGGGGTGGGGGGACTGCGGGGCCGGCCCGGCCCGCGCCGACCTCCCCGGCGCCCGCCCGCAGGCGCAGCTGGAGGCGCAGCACTGGCTGGAGCTGGAGCGGAGCCGGGAGCGCCGGCTGCGGACGCTGCAGCGGAGGGGCTCGGCCGGCGGGCACGCGCGCCGCCTGGAGGCCGCCTGAGCCGGGGGCAGGCGCGCCCCCGAAGCCCCGGGGGTCCCGCCCGAATAAAGCGTGCGGCCCGCGGAGTGCGCGTCCCCTTCCTGCGCCTCGCGCCCCCTCCACCCCTTCTCCCTGCTCCGCGGCCTCACTTGCCCCGCAGTCCACCTGCCCCGGATCAGGGCTGCCAGATAAGATGCAAGACGCCCCGTTAATGCGTAAGACAAACATGCAAAAAAAAAAAAAAAAAAAAAAAAAAGTATCCGTTCTGTATCGGCAATTCAAGTTTACCTGGGTGTCCTGTATTTTCTGTGCTAAATCTCGCCACCCTTGCCTTAGATGCTAGCCCTTCCCTAGGGCCCGGCGGAAGGCATCGCCCATGCCCCTCCCCTTTTGCGGAGCCCCCAGAGCCACCTCTGCACGTGAAAACTTGGAATGCCCACTCTCTGCCTGGAGTCCAGTGCCTTAACTTGTGTGGCTGCACGGGTGCATTTGGATGGAGACGTGGCTGGAATGCTTGGGCCACTGGGAAATGGCCAGTCTCATAATTTGTCTCAAGCAAACCTCACTGCGGCAGTGGACGGTGGGGGCCCATGGGGACGCAGGAACTGTCTCCTACCCCCCATTTTGCTGATGAGGCTAGCAGGGCTCAAAGAGGTCAGGTAACCAGTCCCAAAAGTCTTGACCCACAGCTAAGCCCGCATGACTTAGCACCACCAAGCCTTCTCCAGCATCAAGGGGACGTGGTTAGAGCCACTGGACATCCGGCTGCACCAGGATGCATTCATTCTCTTGGGTTCCTCTGGATCCAGTGCCAGGCTGGAGAGGGCTTGGCCTTGAGGACAGGCTGGCTGAGTGACAGCCTGCTGGTGAAATGCAGAATCATGAATAAAGCACAATGTGCTGCAGCTCCCAGGAAGGACAGAGGATGGGCAAGTCCATGGGGGGGGAGGGTCACGGAGGGGTGGAAACAGCCAGGTAGACAGATGTCCAGGAGAGAGATCCCCCCCAAACCCGACACCCTCCTGCACCCCAGCGCACATTCAGACCAGGAGGATGGGCAGCTTGAAGCGACGAGAACAGACACCGTAATTCTCCCCGAATATACTGAAGTGTCAGAACCCCAGGACTTTCTTTCCCCTGTTGGTAAAAAGAGAAATTTCCCACCTCCCTGTCAAAAAAGCTGAGAGGCAGATTAAAGGTCATTTAAAGAGATAAGCACATTTCTTCTATCCTGTGTGATGTATGATTCAAACCCACTTCCACATTGAGGACGACCTCTCCAGAGAGTCCCTGAGGAGCTCCGAGAGTTTCAAAGGATGAGTTACTAGCAATCCGCAGGCAGGGTGGCCTTCAGGATGTGCCTGATGCAGCAGTTCTGTCTTCAGGCGGGAGCAGCGCCAGCCTCACGACATCCAGAGGAAGACAGGTCATCTCTCCCTGGTGGCCAGCTCAGGAGGGTTCTCTGTCCTTGAAGCCTTGTGTGAACATCTGCTCCAGTCGCACTGGCCTGAACTGAATAGGCTCTGCCGAGCCAGATCCCGTGGCACAAAGCAAGTGCTATGGCCGGAGGGGAGAATAACCCCTCACCTGACAGACAGGCTCCTGAAGCAGAGGGAAGAGGCGCTAGCCCGGCAGATCTGTGGTGCTTCCGCAGTGCTGGGGGCTGGCACTCCACACCAAGGTCCCTGCTTGCCCTCTTGGACCCGGCAGCCACTCAGCTGCCTTGAGAGTACTGTGACTTCTGCTCCATAGAAACCCGGGTGGGAGCAGGCCTTGGGCCTGAGGTTGTGGCCTGAGGGCAGGCCTTGAGTCATGGATTGCTGGCCAAAGGTCTCCAGTCCCCAGGTTCCTTGCCTTGTGCCTCCCATCAAGAGGCATTCTATTTCCCTCAGCACCGGAGTCTGGGCTGACTCGCTTTGGCCAATAGGGTGCAGCAGAAATGGCCGCGTGCCGGCTCTCCGAGCTCCCTCAGGTTCCCTTGCAAGCCTGCCCAGCCCCAGCGTGAGCCTGTCTGGATGGCCTGCTGGGATGAGACACTGTGAGGCCAGCCAGTGGAAGCCATCCCCGCCCATCCTACAAACCCGCAACCCAGCAGAGCCGACGCGGGAGCCCAGCCAGAAGCGGAGCGCTCGCCCTGCCCCCACTAACGCGGAGCTTCATCCGCGACAATAAATGCCTATGTTCAAAGCACTGAGCTTCGAGGTTGGTTCAGAAGCAACAGCTGACTGACAGGCCCTCCGGAGCTGATGGCCTTCATTTACCGAGGCCTCCCCGCACCTGCGTGAGCCCTTTGAGAGAGAGAGAGAGAGAGAGAGAGAGAGAGAGAGAGAGAGAGAGGGCCAGCGGGAGGGAGCAGGGCCAGGCGACGCTGAGAACACACTCCGGAGCCCCCGGGGAATTGACACACTGCTTCAGGGTTCTTTTCTGCATACGTACAGCCAGCTGACCCTCACTGACAGTACCTCAAACTCACTTGGGCAGGGGTTCTTTGGAGATAGTTAACAAGTGGATTCTCAGAGCTTTCCACAGGGATTCGGGTTCTGGTGTGATGCCCGGGAACCTACATGTAGCGGTGTGGCACTTGGAAGCAACAAGGTCCCAGCCTCTTCTCTAAACTGGAAATATTCAGGGCCAGAGGCCTCATCTGTGAGGGAGCCAGGGATGTCCACACAAGTTCAGTGCCAAGTGAGGTTTGGAGAGAACTTGAAGGCAGCATTTGAGCATGAAAAGTGGCATGTGTCGTGACTTTGTTTTTCAATATCATATTTTTTAACTTTTATTAACTTCAAGTTTTATTTTGATTTTTTTTTTCCTTTTCAATGTTAATGTTTGAAAGAAACAGAGTGTGAGTGGGGGAGGGGCAGAGGGAGAGGGAGACACAGAATCTGAAACAGCCTCTAGGCTCCGAGCTGTCAGCCCAGAGCCCGCTGAGGGGCTCGAACCCATAAACCGTGAGATCATGACCTGAGCCGAAGTCAGATGCTTAACTGACTGAGCCCCCCCAGGCATCCCTTTATTTTGATTTTTTAAAAGTAGGCTCTCCACCCAGCATGGAGCAGAACACAGATGACCCTGAAAGCAAGACCCGGGCTGAGATCAAGAGTCAGACTCTTGAAGTGCCTCGATGGTTCAGTCGGTTAGGTGTCTAACTCTTGATTTCGGCTCAGGTCATAACCCTAGGGTAGTGGGATCAAGCTTTACGTCAGGCTCCACACTGAGAGCCTGTTTAAGATTCTTGCTCTCTCCCTCTGCCCCTCTCCCCCGCTTGCACTCTCTCTCTCTAAAGTAAAAAATAAAAATTTAGAGTCAAGATGTTTAACCACCTGAGTCACCCAGACACCCCAACTATTTTTTAAAAACTTTTTGGGGCGCCTGGGTGGCTCAGTCGGTTAAGTGCCCAACTTCGGCTCAGGTCATGATCTCACGGTTCGTGGGTTCGAGCCCTGCGTCGGGCTCTGTGCTGACAGCTCAGAGACGAGCCTGCTTCAGATTCTGTGTCTCCCTCTCCCTCTGACCCTCCCCTGCTCACGCTGCCTCTCTCTCTCTCTCAGAAATAAATAAAACATTTTTAAAAATTAAAAAACACAAAACTTTTTGGGGTGCCTGAGTGGCTCAGTCGGTTAAGCGTCCAACTTTGGCTCAGGTCATGATCTCGCAGTTGGTGGGTCTGAGCCCCGCATCAGGTTCTGTGCTGACAGCTCGGAGCCTGGAGCCTGTTTCAGATCCTGTGTCTCCCTCTCTCTCTGCTCCTCCCCCACTCGTGCTCTCTGTCTCAAAAATAAAACAAAAAAAAATTTTTTTTAATAAAAAATTTTTAAGTAGGGCCCATGCTCAACATGAGGTTTGAACTCATGACCCTGAGATCAAGAGTCCCATGTTCTACTAATTGAGCCAGTTGACTGTCCCCAACATCACACTACCTGATGTATTAAAGTTACAAGTAGAAAACCCTAGCTATCCTTCAGGCTGTGAAATTCAAATTACTAATGTTATCCAAAAATCTATTAACTATTATTTTGATTGGTTGTGTATGGTTGGTCCCATTTACAGGCTGAAATCTTTAACATTTTGCATTTAAATGTACAAAATCTAAACTTTTTTTTTTTTTTAAGCATTTCCGTTGTCTGCCTTATCAAGTATTTAAAAATTCTGGGGCACCTGGGTGGCTCAGTCAGCTAAGAGTCTAACTGTGGCTCAGGTCATGATCTCACGGTTTGTAGTTCGAGCCCCGCATCAGGCTCTGTGCTGACAGTACAGAGCCTGCTTTGGATCCTCTGTCCCCCTCTCTTGCTGCCCCTTCCCTGCTCATGTGGGCACTCTCTTACTCTCAAAAATAATAGGGGCACCTGGGTGGCCTAGTCGGTTAAGCGTCCGACTTTCGCTCAGGTCATGATCTCACGGTTCGTGGGTTTCAGCCCCGCGTCAGGCTCTGTGCTGACTGCCAGCTCAGAGCCTGGAGCCTGTTTCAGTCTGTGACTCCCTTTCTCTCTGACCCTCCCTGCTCACACTCTCTCTCTCTCTCTCTCTCTCCTAGGAAAAAAAAAAAAAAAAAAGAACCAGTGCTCATCATAAATAATTAAAACTATTAAAAAAAAATAAAAACATTTAAAAAGTGTAAAAATTCCTAAAGATACATTAAAGGCCTATTTATCTTAAATTTGTAAATTCTCTTTAATATTCCAACTATGATCACAAACTGAAGTCTTGTAGCTTCCAACTCAAAATCACTATCGAAATCCGTATGTTTCAAACTCAGCATGTTTCACACAGAATCAGATTTATTGTACACCCTAACATACCAAATTCCTTTACAATTACGTAAGTATCAAACACAGAGATTGCTTGTAAACTGGGTACAAAACCATTCATGCTCTGGCTTTGATCTGCTTGGTAATTTCCATACATCCCTCAATCTTCTGGGTCGAAGACCCCCTCCTAGTAGACTGTCCACCCCCAGGCATTTGGAGTGGTGTCCTCATTGCCTGAGGGTGTCCAGGGACCACCCGCGATGGCCATGACCTGATCTGGGTACTCTCAGAATCGGAGGGACACGCCGGGCTTTCTGTTGAAAATCCATGTCCAAGTGCAGTTCCGGAAGCTGAACTCAAGGAACCCACCACCCGCCTTCCTCTCTGGTTTCCGGTCTGCAGCCCCCTCTCCGGGCCGTGGCTCGCGCCTGCGCTGCTGTGTGTGGGGCCCTCAAACCGTCCACCCTCCTGGGAGGCAGGTCCCGTGCAGTGACCATCCCCATGCAACAGGCGAGGGGGCTGCTGGGAGCGCTTACACAGCAGAGCTCGGATTCAAACTCGGGCAGGAGGGGTCCAGGGCCTTCACTCCCTTAAGCCCTGGAGTTGCACCGGGTGCGCCAGGGAGCCCCAGGCCTCTGCCTGGGCCGCGGCCCCTTTCCCAGAACCGGACCTGGGCCCGAGTGCCCCCTGAGGGCTCCGTCCTTCCTTTCCTCGCACGCACCGTCCTCGGGAGAATCTAGCCTCAACCTGGAATCCGGGCCCTCCGGGGTCCGGCTCCTGCCCCCGCGCCCCCGCCCCCACCTCTGCTCCCCGCACGACGCGCGGCGGGCAGTGTCCGGGGCGCGCCGGCCTCTCCCCCCACCCAGGCTACCTCGTCTGAGGGCTCTCTCCGCCCGTCTCTAGTCCCTTCAGTTCCCAGCTCCGCGGTGGCTTCCTTCAGGGAGTCCTCGCACACGTCCTGCTGGAGTGCGTCCTCCGGGTTCCCGCAAACGGGCCAGGCTGTGCGTCCCTCAGTTTCCGGCGCCGGCCTGGGAGCCGGTGTGGGAGCCCTGGGTCCGGCCCAGGGCCTCGCACGTGGGGTCGCGAGCGCCCCGGAGCTCCTGCAGGTCCGGGCCCGGGAGCGCGGACACGAGCGCGAACCGAGGCCCGCAGCGGAGCGGGAGCGGGCCGGGTGCGCGGCCAGCTCCGCCCCGTCCGCCGGCCTCCTGCGGCGCGTTTCAGCGCGCGGGGAACGGGCCGCCGCCCTGCGAACCACAACTCCCGAGAGGCCTTGCGCGGAGAGGGGCGCAGACCTCGTTTCTCGCGGGAAGGCGGTGCTTGAGCTCGCGAGCGCGGGCGGAGCCGGAAAGAAGCGCTTTTCAAAGCGGTAATAGATGGTTTTCTTATCCAATAGAATTGAAAACATACCTCCTGCACCGGGAGACCACGGGAGTAGGCGGAGCGGCGGCCAATGGGAACGCGCGGGGGGTGGAGACGGGGCCTCCGGAGCGGAAGCGGGTCGCTGTTGAGGCGGCGGCGTCTTGCTGGAGGGTTTCTCCTCGAGGTTTCCGGGGTGCTTCTCCGCTGGAGCGCGTCGGCGTTGGCGGCTGCCGGGCCAGACCGGCTCCAGGTGAGCCAGGCCGCGCGGAGAGGGCCGGCCAGCCAGGGCCGGGCGGGCGTGGGGTTCGGGCGGCTTCGCGGCCTGCGGAGGCCTCGGCGCGGCGGCGCGGCGGCCCGTCGGAGCGGAGCCTACCCCACTCGGGCCGGACGCCCGGCCGGGCCGCCCCCGAGCCCCCGGGCCCGCTCGGCCGCCCAGCTGTCCGCGTGGGTGCACGAGCCCGGCGCGGCGCGGGCAACGGACTGCGAACGCCTCGCCGAGGGCCTGGCGGGCTGCGGCCGCAGCGTTTAGTATCGCAGCCAGAGAAACCGCTGCCGGGGAGGGGGGCGGACGCGCCCAAGGTCACTCGGGGAGGCGGGCAGGGCGGCCGGGGCCGCTCGGAGAGGCTCCGGCCAGCTTTTTGTTCCCGGCTGACGCCGCCTCTTTTGTGTGCTCGCGTCGCCGCCCCGCCATCGCGGGCCTGCCAGTCCGCCCGGGCCGCGTGGCAGAGCCTGCCCGGCCTCGCGGGGTTGGGGGCGGCCGGGGCCAGTCCTGGGGGCGCCCACCTGGGGCTGAGCTCCGTAGATCCTCGGCTTCCGGTCGCTGGGGACTGCCGGGTGCGGAGGCCCGCGGCCGGCCCCGCCCCTCGGGCGCCGGCACCCGCGCCCGCATCCCCCCAGCGCGCCGGCGGCCGGGGGACCTGGGGAGTAATTCGCGTCTCGGTGAGGCTCCGTGTACACCGCTTTCCACCCTTCGATCCGTCCGGGGAGAAGCGTGGAGTCTCCCGCCGTGTTCGTTTGCGGGAGGTTTTGGCTTTTGTCGTCTTCTGGTCCGTGCCCATCTGCGTTCACAGTCCTGCCTTCGTTCGGCTCCAAGTTCTCGCAGCCTGAGCCCAGCTCTGCAGTCCCGCGCGCCGCTTCTGCTGCGAGGCGGCTGGGGAGGCCGAGGCGGCCTGCCTGCGGTCGTACAGCCGGCGAACGAGGCGGCAGAGCTAGGCTGGAACCTCGTTTTCCTGGCTGCAGGACTGGCCCTTGAGTCCAGTGACCAGGAGTTTGGGGACCACGGTAATGGGCAGAGACGTTGAAGGGTATCGTTTTGTCTTTCTGGTGGTCTGTTTTTTAACGGCTAGGGAGGCATGCTGGGTTCCTTTAATCTGTGAGCTCGAGGGGAAATGGGAACATTAGGTAGAAAGATGTGTTGCTGAGGTTTTAATTGCCTGAACTTGGGCTTCCAACTCAGATTTAAAAATCTTACTTTAACACAATGTTTATCAACCTTTTTTTTTTTTTTTTTTACAACGAACTCCCCCCACTTTTAGGTATTGTTTTTCTAATCTCCATGAAATGTTAATGCTGTATATATAGCGTCTTTTTACGTATTGTATGTGTATCTTACGTTTTGTACGTAAAAAGAGTGAGAGGTTTTTTTCCACCCCCTTTGAGAAGGCGTACTTTAAAATTCTAAGCACATCTTTGAGGTCTCCTGTGTGCCAGGCTTTCTGCTTGGGGGTACAGCCCCTTGAGGGAATGAGAGAAGCTCCCTGAGGTTGAAATACAGATTGTACAAGAGACAGGACTGGAGAGGTAAGCAGGAACCAGCTCGCAAAAGGTTTTTGGTGTGCCCCAAGTTAATTTATGCCAAGACCGAGTGGGAAAAATTGCTAAATTAAGTCCTAAGCAGGAAAGTAGCATGGTTAAATTTGCATTTTAGAAAAATCACTGTGCTGTGAAAAGGATGGCTGAGAAAGGTGGGTGAGACTAGTGGCCTCTGGACTGGTCAGGAAGAGAGAAGGGTACCTTGGACCAGGGTGGGGACTGGGAACCGAGCGTGGTGCCCGTGATTGCCAGCTGTGGCAATTCTTCACTGGCTCTTTACTTTAAAAACTGTTGCAAAGTTCATGTCCAGTAGTTTATACCCCCACCAATTTTTGGAAAAGATTTGAGGTGCTGCTCGATGCAAATACATGCACAAGTTGATTGGTTTTTATGCTGTATAAAAATGGCTTTTTAAGTTCTTTGTATGTTATCAATGTCTAATTTTGAAATGATTTGTCTCCACCTTTTAGTGTCCTCCGATTATGACTCTTTGAAGGGTAAGGTGGCTCCTGTAGATATGATGGGGCTGACTCTTGTTTATTAAGATATAATTCACATATGTTCTTCTGACTTATCTTTCCTAAATAGCTTGTTTCTCAGCAGGGCTTTGGGAATTGTAGAGCAAAGCATTTTAAGGTTTCCTCTCTGAGGAGGAAGGCCCAGACACAGATACTGCTGCATCCCAAGATCAGAGTTCAAATGTGAGAAAACATGTGAGCTTAGGTTGGCTAATGCTACTGCAGAATTTCCTTTGGAAAGGTATTTTTTTCCCACGCGTAAATAAGAGCTGTATATTTTATTATTCCTACCATGCCATGCAGAGTGGGTAAGGCCTAAAAATGTTTCAAAATAAGTATTATCAGTAGCTTCCTTGCATAAAAGAGTAATTGTGATCCTAAGGTTTCCCTGGAGTCTTTTTTTTTTTTTTTTTAATGTTTTATTTATTTCTAGGAGAGAGAGAGAGACAGCGTGAGCAGGGGAGGGTCAGAGAGAGAGGGAGTCACAGAGACTGAAACAGGCTCCAGGCTCTGAGCTGGCAGTCAGCACAGAGCCCGACGCGGGGCTCGAACCCATGAACCGCGAGATCACGACTCAAGCGAAAGTCGGACGCTTAACCGACTAAGCCACCCAGGCGCCCCTGGAGTCTTTTTTTTTTTTTTAAGTTTGTTTTTTTAGTGATTTGTACACCTAACATAGGACTCGAGCTCATGACCCTGAGATCTCTTTCTAGTCATTATGTTTGTGGAGGTGTTCTTTTCTCCCATGATGGTGATGTGTTTCTGAGTCTTCCTTTGTTTCCTGATGGTGACTACATTAAAAATTTTTTTTAGTGTTTATTTATTTTTGAAAGAGAGTGTGAACAGGGGCAGGGGGAGGCAGAGAGAGGGAGACACAGAGTATGAAGCAGGCTCCAGGCTCTGAACTGTCAGCACAGAGCTCGAACCCATAAACCATGAGACAATAACCCGAGCCAAAGTCGGACACCTAGTCTACTGAGCCACCCAGACGCCCCTGGTGACTGTATTTCTACTTGCAGTGTCAGGCCCCGTTCCCCCATCTTAGGGACGCGTCCTCTTTTCGCCTTGAAAGCACTCCTCGCCACCTCTCAAGCATCTAGTGAGCTTGATAGTTCAATTTCAGTGGAAGAAAGTCACAGTTTATTTCATCAGCATGTTTATGGTAAGAGAAGGGGACTCTGCAGTAAGTATTGGACTTGGAATCAGATTGCCCATGTTGAGTGCAGGAGAAGCAGCGGTTAGATTAGCACCATGAGCGCGGATCATATTATGGCGCTGTTCTCCAGGAGAGCCTGCACCGGGTGCCTGACAGCCTGGGTACCGGAGCAGAGTACAGCCACTTGTGCTTTTAACACTTGTTTGAAAGTGTGATTAGTGCCAACAGGATTGAAATCTCAGGGACCAGTCTGAACGTTTTGGGGGGTTTTGAGTTGATGTGCATAATTTCACCTATGAGAGATACTGGATGAACACAGAAAATTGAACTGAGATGAACCAAGTCACAGAGACTGAAGACCGTACACTCTCCTCAAACATCCACCAGCTTTCTCGATGACTGGGTTATGAGCCACACCTGTGCACATCCCACGTTTAAAAATTTTGCCCTAGTTCCCAGTAATTCACTGCAAACCTTGTAAAGTAAAATCCCAACCAGGCTCTACCATACTGTCTGTCCGTGCAGAACCTGATGTGGGGCTTGAGCTCATGAACCACCAGCTGAAATTAACTGAGCCATCCAGGCACCCCGTAGGTTTCCTTTGTTATGAACCCTTGCTCATGGCCTCTAGGAATTGCCTTACCTGTGTCACCAGGCCACCATGGCTTGAAAGAAAATTAGGTTAGGGGTCAGTGGTGGAGAAGCCACTTAGCTTCACTTCCTTGCCATCCCATAGTAATAACCCTTCTCCAAAGGAGTTGGTTGGGTTTGATGTCTTTTAATAATGTCCCAGTTGTGAAGCTCCTCCGGATCAGTCACTGGTAACAACTTCAGCAGCCATTGCTGGTGGGGAATTGAGGTGTCCCCGTGCCCGGCGGGTTCATCAGCAAAAAAGGTCAACCTAGTGTTTGGGAGGAATTGCTGAAAATCCTGCAGGTGAAGCTGTAGAGAAATCTGTAGGAAGAGCTTGTTTGTGAAGAGGCGGCGCGGTCTGCACCGGCTGTGCCTGGCTCCCAGGTGTGTCCTGGGGACCCCAGGCCTGAGTGGCGGACGCCGAGGGTCCTGCTAGAGGCAGATTCCTTACAGATGTTTCTGGGGCTGTGCCCACTGCAGAGCGTTTCTGAGTAATTGACTAAATAAAGCGTCTAGAACAAAGGGTATTAGATAAAGTTTATTTTTAATTTTTTTGCTGTGGTAAAATGCGTGTTGTGTAATAGGAATTATCGGAACCACTTTCAGATGTTCGTTGGCATTAAGCACATGAAGCACTTCTAGTGCCCCCTAGAAGTGGAATTATACAGTATTTGTCCTTTTGTGTCTTCTTCTGCTGAGTGTGTCTACACTGTTCATCCGTGTTGGAGCCTGTGTCGGCATCTTATTATTAAAGCTCGATAATCTTATTGATTTTTCTTCATAGATTTTCAAAAAACTGAAGTTTACTCTTAGTCTTGGACCCTGGTCCAAGGCCTGAAGGGGTGAATCACAAAAGTAGACCATCTCTGTATCCAGACAGCTGCTCTCTTTGTCTAGTAAAAGCAAAAGGCTGTCCTTGGGTCCTGTATTAGGAGAAAAGGAAAGAAGTCCCCTAGTGACATCACCAAGCAGGTGTAATGGCCCTTGGTGCTGATGCTCCTTTCCGGCCTCTGCGACTTTGCTGATTGCTGGTGATGACTTCATCAGGGTAATAAAATGCATCTGGGAAAGGCCAGCTACTGTCTCATCGAGCCTAGTCTTCTGCTTTCTGTTTCCGTCAAATCCTCTCATCTGACTCTGCAAAACCCCCAAGGGAGGCCAGTGGTCAAGGCTCCTAAGCCTCCTTTAGGAGTAAATAACAGGGAGAGGCCTGCCCCATTACCTCTGCGCTGGCTCTTCAGCCTGCTCTAAGCCGAAGCAGGAATGACTAGCCACATCCTGCCAAGCAAGTCTTTTCTGGAAATGAAATGACCCTCGAGATCACGGCCTGACCAAAATCAAGAGTAGGCAGACACTTAACCAGCTGAGCCACCCAGGTGCCTTGAGGTGAATATTTTTCTTAAGTACTGAGGCCAGATTACTGATGTGACTGTGTCATCAAGTTTCCATAGAAAAAGTGGAGGAGGTGCTCCTGGCTGACTCAGTGGGTAGAGCATGTGACTCTTGGTCTCCGGGTCTTGAGTTCAAGCCCCACGTTGGGGGAGGGCTCACTTAAGAAACAAGCATTGAAGGGCGCCTGGGTGGCTCAGTCAGTTAAGTGTCCGACTTCAGCTCAGCTTATGGTCTCACATGTGAGTTGTGAGCTGGAGCCCCGCATCGGGCTCTGTGCTGACAGCTCAGAGCCTGGAGCCGGCTTCAGATTCTGGGTGTCTGCCTGTCTGTCTCTCTATCTCTGCCCCTCCCCACACTCATGCTGTCTCTCTCTCTCTCTCTCTCTCTCTCTCTCTCTCAAAAGTAAATATTAAACAAAAAATTTTTTAAAGCTTTGAAGTGAAAGTTATTGGCAGTTTTGTTTTGTTTTGTTTTAAGTTTATTTTTTTGAGAGAGGGAGGGAGTGGGGGAAGGGCAGAGAGACAGGGAGACCATCCCAAGCAGGCCCCGGCTGTCAGGGCTCTAACTCAGGAGCCACCAGACCGTGACCGGAGCTGAAACCAAGAATCGGAGGCTTAACCTGCTGAGCCCCCTGGGTGCCCCAGGTATTGGCAACTTTTAGTGCTCAGGCCCGTCCCCGAAGGGGGCAGGCTGTCCTGGCACTGGTGCGCTGCCAGTGGCCTGGGGTATTTTTTACATTCTTTACAGAATTACAAAAGCTGTTGGTCAATACACAACGCTCTTTAAATAATTCTTGCTTTTTAACATATGTTCCGTAGTTCTACTTTTGGAATTCCATTTATGGAAATACTTAAAAAAACATGGTAATGAGTACGTGTTTATGGTTTCAAAAGAGGAGATATGGAGTCGACCGTTCGCACTAACCAATACCCGGTTAGTCACTGAGAAGTTGGCGTTTCCCTGATGAAACTGTAGGATTTATGCTTCTCTCCGCTTTTACCATGCCGCCAGAAAGAGGTCGCCCGGGCTGGCTCCTCTGAACCCACAGGAGACTGCCGTGTGTCTCAGAGTAGCTCTTTCTGAGTTGGTGCATGGAATGCGTGGCTTGATGCGTCTGCGTGTCATCTCCCCGCAGAAAAGTGCGTGAGGAGCCCCCTGAGACCCACGCTCCCGAGGACTGTGGAACCTGTGTGGAGAGATAGGTCTCACGAGTCCGGGGTGACGGTGCCAGCCTCCGCTGCCCTGCGCGGCATGGGGGGGAGGGGTCTCCCACACCCTGGGCTGCACGAGGCCGCCCATCTCGCGCTCTCCCTCGGGCACCCTGCAGGCCCACCCCTGGGTCTCTGGTGCGCCCCCGGCCCGCCCCTTCTCTGCTGACCCCTCCTTGGCGTGGGAGACCGAGCTGGTCTCACACCGACTGCCTCCTGCCTGCCCAGCTGTTTCTAGCCGTTTTGTCTGTAGACGTCTGTCGTACACGTGGTCACATGTCACTCCCGCTAGAGTGTGGGGGGGGTTATTCTCTGAAGTGTCAGTAATGGCTTCATAGAGGAAAAACTGCGTCTCTAATGAGGACAGAATGATTGAGTAGAGCTTCCTCTGCGCTGACCGCGTGGTCTGCCTCGGGAAATGGAGGGCCGCGGGCCACCTGCTGATGGGGCTGCTGGTATTGTTGTGAGGACTCTCTTCCTGGACACAGCGAGTTCAGAACCTGGAGAACATCAGCCATTTTCCAGATTGTTTCTAGAATGAAGACCCCTGGTTCTGGCATGGTATTTATTTAATAGTGTAGCTTCTGATGTCACACTGTCCTGGTTCAAATCCAGGCCGCTGTGTGGTAGGTGTGGGCTTTGGGCAGGGTGCGAACCCCTGACCATGCTTCCCTCTCATGGGTAAGACGATAACCTCGGTACTACCTTCCCCCTTGTTGGGTGATGGGACCATTACAGAAGCGGTGTTTGGAAAGCACAGTGGTTTGCACACAGTACAAGTACCGTCCGGGCTTCAGCTGTTGTTAGTCTCACGTTCATTCTGATGGCCTCTATCGGCTGCAGGACCCAGAACACTGTGTGGGCTGTGGAGGCTACCCTCCCGCGAGCCCTGCCTTCCCCGTGCAGACGGTACGTACGCTTCTGCGCCTGCACTTGGGCCGTTGGGTGCCCCTGCTTCCCACCCCTGTTCTCTGTGCAACCCAGCCCCTTACTTGGTGGATTTCCCGGAGGTCAGCCTGCCAACTCCCTATGCCCTCTGAGCACTAATTCTTCCAAAAGAAGCACACAGATTGAGGAGGCTCGAGGAAAGTTCCCAGGCAGGCCACGGTGGTCTTGCCGGGCCGGGGCTACAGGAGGGGCTTTCAGGGAGTAGAGGGGCTGTGCAGGCCAAGGGGGTGGGGCGCCTCTGGGGCAGCCCGCAGGACCCGTCTTCACAACCATCCTTGAAAGCCTAAAAAGTAACGTCGTGGGAGCCACGAGGCTTATGGAAAAGCCCAGGTATGGGTGTCCTGCCCGTTGTCCGGGGCCGATCTCCCTCCTGGTCTGTCAGTGACATTTTTATTAGAGTCTTCTCAGGTCTCACACATGCCATGAGGTACCCGACTTTCCCCAAAACAGCTGCATTGTGCTGTGCACCCAAACGTCAGACACTCCTCAGGATCTGAAACACGTGTGTGTGTTAGATTCCAGAAGGTGCGGCCTTCTGTGAGTCCTAAGAGGCCCCCGGGGCGCCTCCCCCTCTGCTCAGCCCAGGAAGCCGGTCTTCCTCCCGGCCAGAGCCTCCGCCCTGAGCGCAGTGTCAGCCGAAGGTTCCCAGGCGGGGTGTTGCTTTGGGAAGCGTGGGAGCCCTTTGTGGGTGGGGGTCACCTGAGGGGCGTCAGGAGCCGTCACGCTGCGTGCCAGCTGCACGTCTTCCCGCAGAGTGACGGTGAGGAGGCTCTCCCCGACCACCGGGATCAGAGTGGGTATGAGGTGCCGGGGGAGCGGACGTGGGCAGAGGCAGACCACCAGGTAGTAGAGAAGGAAGCTCAGCCGGCCGGGCAGTCCCTCTAACGGGGCTTCTCTTGAAAAAAGTGGGGGGAGAGGTGTTCTGGAAAACCTTTTCCGGCCTGTCCTTGTCCTCTGTTTCTTTCCACCTGGCTCGTATGCCTCGGTGACCCCTGAGCCGTTGCCGGTGCCAGCCCGCCCGCTCTCCCTCCGCTAGGCCGGGAGCTGATGCCCAGGTCTGTTCCCTGCTGTGTTCCCAGGGCAGGGCCCATGCTGACCAGTGAACGAGGTGGGGAGACGTGGTGTAGATGGGGCGGGGGCGGCGGACGAGTCCTGTCAGCCCCTGGGACCCTCAAACACGCGTTGCTGGAGGTGCTGCTCTGTCTCCTAGTTGAAGAAACGGGGCACAAAGTTTGGTGCTTTGCCTAAGGTACAAGCAGGGCTTCGGAGGCGCCTGACCAGCCCAGGCTGCCTGGGTCTGGAGCTGTGCCCCCCACTCCGCGGCCAGCTCTGTGTCTTAGAGAAGGTGCTACGGGGGACCTGTTAGGGGCAGGCAGCAGGGGGGGGCGGTTGAGGGCCGTCCTGTCGTTCCCGCTGTCTCGGTGTCTCCGGCTGCAGGGCCCCTGTCCTGTGCTGTGGCCCCCGGGGCCGCACCGTTAACATCGCCTCAGAACTCAGCAGGAATGCAGAATTTTGAGCCCCGTCCCGCGAGGCTCTGGTTTCACAAGCCTTCCAGGTGAGGCAGGTGCGGGCTCAAGTGTGAGGACCCCTGTCCTTATCCGGAGCACTCCCGCCCCCAGTGCGCCACCACAGAGCTGCCTCCTTGCTCCGATTCTCCCCGTGTCCCTCAGCCTTGCCCTGAGCTCCGGGCTTCCCCAGCGAGAAGCCGGCTTTGCCCCCTTGTCCTCTGCATCTCTGACGGCGAATTTACCGTGCGTGGCTGCCACCTTCCAGGGGAGGGCCCTGAATGAAACCCTCGCAGCCTCTAGCATCCTCTTCACTTGCTGTTTCTCTGCCCTTTCTGGAACCTCAGCCCACAGTTTCTTGGTTCTTCCCCATTCAGCTGCTGCCAGTGACTAAAGTCTCGGCTAGGCACGCAGGGTGAATCAGGGTAGGTGGCGCTCGTGACGTCAGGTAAACTTTCGGCGCCTCCAGAGGGCAACCATGGAGTTGTAGAAAGAGCCAGAGGCTCTGGGCTCTGCTCTGGCTTCGGAAGCGCCATGCCTTCCTGGTTGCAAGGAGTCCGTGAGGTCACGTGTGGCGGTTCTGATTCCCTTTCTTTTCCCAGCAGCCAGCACAGGACTCGGGAAGGGTTTCAGCGCCCAGAAAGGCGAGCAGGCCGCAGCACGGTGGGTCTGATCTCAGACTTTGGGATGATGCAGCCCCGTACCCTGTGAGGATGCTTGCTTCCCCGGCGCCTGGGGGGCTTGGTCAGTTAAGCATCAGACTTGTGATTTCAGCTCTGGTTGTGATCTCACGGTTCGAGGGATCAGAGCCCCAGGTTGGGCTCTGAGCTGACAGCAAAGAACCTGCTTGGTCTTTTTCTCTTTCTCTCTCTCTGCCCCTCCCCACGGTGCATACTGGTGTGTGCTCTTTGTCCCTCTCAAATAAACATTTTTTTAAAAGAACGCTTGCTTCCTAAGAAGGCGAAAGTAAGTTGCATGGAGTGTTCAGCGAAATTCAGGGAAAGGATCAGACTGAGTTTGTTGATGACGAGGCGGCAGCACTTACCACCTTGATATCTTTGATTTTTCAGGACTTGAAGATACCGGAAATCTGGCTGCAAATTGCCATGCTAGCCAGAGGATGAGCAACCGGTGGGTGTGAGAAGTCGTCACCTTCCCTGACAGCTCCACACAGGTCCCCGTTCTTCTCTGGAGGGTGGAGCCGAAGGGCACCATGAGTACAGTGAGTTTTACCAGCTTGTGAATTTTGTTTTCAAGGCTGAGCACCTACCTCATTCCTTGTGGCATGTTAATGGAAGTACCGTAAAGGTGCCTGTGAGTAACCCATGTTCTCGAAAGAATGTGTACAGGACTGTTTGGCAGCTACTCGGCTTACTTATCTTGGGGCGCCCATTGTCTTGGGTGGGGTCCTGAAGGCAGAGGGCTGAGAAGTGGGTGGAGGGGGTGATTGTACCCCTTTGGAGCAGCTATCAGTGTCCTAGAAATACCAGGGCTCTGGTTTATTTAATTTTTTACAGTCAGTTGTCCATTTCCCTTCTATTTCCTTCCCCTGTGTAGTTCTTGGTCCAGTGTGGGCACGATGGTAATGATCTTTGGTCAGAGTTACACTTAGTGACCTAAGTTGCTAAGTCAGCATTGCAGCTGTTCAGAGCCTTCATCAGACTCTGAGGCGGTGCTGGTTTAGGGTAAGCAGGGGTCGCCTGGAGCTACAGAGAAGATTCCCTGAGGGTCGTCCCCCCCCCCCAACACACACAGAGGTGCTCATATGATCCAAACTCAACACAGCTGTTTTCTGAGATACTGAATTCATATCAGGTGGACCAGATGTGGAATGCAGCCTCATACTCTCTTTCCAGGGTCCCGAGGTGCTCGGTACGTGGGGGCAGGACAGGACGGCCCCAGCTCCCAGGGTGGACAGTAGCGGGCGTCCCCAGTGTCCCTCTCCTCCTGGCCACTCCCAGCCCCTGGTGTGCTCCAAGCCCTGTTGATATTTCCACACAAAAGGGCCTTTGTTTCCCTGGCCTACCCTTCTAAGAGGCAGATGACTTCCCACCTCTTCCCTTATCTGCAGATTGTCACTGCCTCTCCCTTGTTGGGAGACAGATGTCCTGAGCCTGGCCGCCTCCTCTGAAGCCCAGGCCTTGCCCAGGCGGGGTCTGGACAGACAGGGTAACATGGCTAGCCTCTTATGTAATTGTGTGGAGAGTTGGTTAAACTTGCCTCCGAATGGTGTAAACAACTTATGTGATCAACTAGAGGCTGAGTCCCTCCGGCCAGCCAGAGGCGGGGAGAGCCGCCACGAGAGTAATGGGGCAGAGCGCATCTCTGCACATACCCTGGGGTTCTTGAGGGCACCGCGGCCCCCTGCTGCCTGCCCGCTGGGGAGGGCGGTTGGACGAGGACAAGGAGGCGGGAGCCCTGCGAGGCGCGGTCCTGGTGGTCGTCCTGGCAAGAGGAGGGCCTCCTGGTCATGGAGGTGCCATCTCCTGGCCTCTGAAAGCTGTGTGAGAATTGGCTGAGTGGAGAGGAGGAGGAGCGGGCAGCCAGGCACGGAGGGGCTGGCAGAGCCGCTGGGGGGAGGGCCGGGGGAGGGGCGTTGAGCATCCACGTTGGGGCAGTGGCCACGATAGGTTCTTTCCAGCACCCGGACCTTGGCCAGGGCCCGTGGCTGCTGCCAGCCTCCCTCGGTGGAGGCCGGAAGCCGTACAAGTAGCTGCAGTGGAGCACCGAGGGCTCTGTTTCCCAGGATCTGCTGAGAAACGCCAGGTTCTTTTCAGAGGAAGGAAGATGCAAGGACAGCTTCAGAGACCAGAGAGCGGTGGGGCGGGGGGAGAGGTAAAGAGCAGCCCCGGGTGTCCTGCTGGCCGGGAGGGAAGCCCAGAAACACCGGGCAGCAGACTCAGCTGAGGCCCGGTGTCGGCTCCCTCGAGGGGCAGAGCTGCTCCTTACTGGAGAATTTTGAACTCCTGCAGTGGCTTGTCTCTGGGGATGGCTCCCTGCTCCTCAGACTCATGGAAAATTGCTAAACCCAGATCTGATTCCCGACGCTCCTCAAGCTGCTGTTTGCTACCGAGGAGCCGTTGGAACCCCCGGAACCAAGCACCCCTCTCGCGCCTCGCCGGTGAGCGTTGGGCCGAGTGCCGGGCTCCCTTAGGTCTTGCGCAGGCCACACCCACAGCGCCCAGTCCCGCCGGTTTCCAGGCACAGAATGCTCGGGCATGTGAGGAGTTAGGGTAGTGTCGGCGTCTGGTGTGTGTGCTCAGTGCTTGGCGTACTCTGCCGTCTAATCTGTATGCCAGCTCTGCAAGGCTGGTACTGGGGAGGAAGTTTCGGCTGCCCCAGCTCACCCAGTTCGAAGCATCGTGGGCCCAGTGCTGGTAAGAACCCGAAACACGGGAAGCCGTGATCGGTTGGGGCCAGGCCGGGTGGGAATCACAAGGTAATGGAGTCAGGTGGAAGGTTCTGTCTCTTTTGAGGACGGCCTGACTTGCAGGGCCAGCCAGGTCAGAGAAGCTGCTTATGGGTGAGCTGGCGCTCAAGGACGTGTGTGGGAAGAAGGCTGGTCAGAGAGTCTGGACCGCAGCGGGGCCGGCGAGAGCCTGCACTTTCCAGAAGCAGGGCTCTTGAGCAGCCACTGTGAACTTTGGTTCTTTGAGCCCTGGGGGCGATTATTAGGGTGTAAACCATACTGGATAGTACTCTGAAGGTTAAATATTTTTGAAAGAAAAGACCCACTCTCCACAATGGATAGAAATGGGGAAACTGAGGGCCTAGGGCTGAGAAAACAAAGAGGGCTCAATGGGGCCAAATACAAATCTGAGGAAGATGGGATTGTAACTCTTGGTTAAAAGGAGGGGTTTCTGGCCAAGCCTTGACCTGGATCATAGGCTTCTATAGAGTGGCGTGTCATGTACTTTGTTTGGATAGACCAATAGTTTGATACAACAGTTTTACTTCATAGAATTCATATTCACGTTATATTTAGGATTATTTCTCTAAATATTCAGTGTTCTAGAATGGCAGGTTTTGAAAGGACCTCAACCTTAGTTTAGCTCGCTGGCCTCTTCCTCTTCCTGATGGGTTGAGCCATTTCCATGTCCACCTTTTATTCTTACTGTGAAAATTGTATCAGCCAGAGCTCACGTGACTGTTTCTTTCCCCCGGATACCCTCAGAGAAAGCGTCGTGGTGGGGCAGTAAATTCTAGACAAGCCCAGAAGCGAACTCGGGAGGCAGCCTCCACCCCTGAGATGGCCTTGGAAGCAGAGCCCATAGAACTTGTGGAAAGCGGTAAGATTGCCAGGGGCGCCGTGACCGTGGGGCGTCAGCGTGGCGCAGAGCGGGCGGGTGGGCCCAGCACTGCCGCCTCCCTGCTACAGGGCCTCATGTGAGCCACACCACCCCACGCCTCCACTACCCTCTCTGAGATGGGTCTCCTAGTACCGCTACGTACAGTTGTCTGTGAGGTTACTTAGATCCGTGCTTGCTGGACAAGGGTTATTAGCTTCCGTCCGTATACCTGTAAGGCCTCCGCCTTATACCCTGGACTCAGCCACCACTCAGAACTGAAAGCGGACTGGGGAGGAAGTGCGCTGTGCCGTACCCGAAGGCCTCCACGGATCCCGCCAGCCACTCCACAGGGCTAACCGTTACACCTTCTGGGAACGTGCAGGGGGGTGAGACGGCCCTGGGCCCACCTTTTCTACTTGAAACTGCATCTCCAATTGCTCAGCCTCGTGGAGTTCTCTGATTTCCTTTTCTCTTTCTCTTTGAGACACAGAATTCCCCAAGAAGGCAGATATGTTGACAGCTGCCTTTGTTGGAGCGGGTTGGTATAGGCAGAGGCCAGACTGACTTTCCCCCCTTCTGCCGCCGAGGGAGGCAGCCGGTGGCCCGAGTTGAGTCCCTGTGCTCTGCACGTGTTAACATTGATTTCATGACTATGAGGCCTGAAAACTGACATTTAAAGAGAAGCGGCTTGTCTTGAGATCTGTCATGGGCCCTTCAGGAAAGTGAATGTCTCGGTATTGTGTCTGTGGCTCCTGAGTTTCACTTCTGTGAAGCCCTAAAGCCTGGAGGCTGAGACCCTGCCCCCGCCACCCTCCCCTATGTCCCAGAGTTGATGCCCCTGCATCTGAATCTGCCGTCATTCCAGAGAGACTAGCGCCCTCTTGCTCCTCCGTCAAGACACTGAGCACATGAGTGGTCTCTGGGAGCTTGGGGTTCCAGGCCCGACTGATGTCTGGCCCAGCCCTCCCCTTGCCACAGGCCACCTCTGTGTGTGCGTGGGGCCGTGTGCACAAGCTGCCCATTGGAGTCCAGCTTTTGTTTGTGAGAGCCATAGATTGTGTCCACCAACACAAGAATGGTTCTGATCGAGAACGGGTCATTATGTGGGCCGCTCTTAAAAAGGAGGAGGCCAGAGGTGCCTGGGGGCTCAGTCGGTTAAGCATCTGACTTCGGCTCAGGTCATGATCTCACAGTTCATGAGTTCAAGCCCCGCGTCGGGCTCTGTGCTGACAGCTCAGAGCCTGGAGCCTGCTTCAGATTCTGTGTCTCCCGCTCTCTATGCCCCTCCCCTGCTTGCCCTGTGTCCTCTCAAAAAAAATTTTAAAGGTTTTATAAAGAGATCATTTTAAAAAATTACATTGGACACAACCATATATTGTGGTTTTTATTCCTGTGAAAGTTTTTAATGTAAGAAAATAAAGCAAGTTGGAACATATTAAATGTATTACAAGTTACCGTCTCCAAATACCACCTTTAAAAATCCTACTCCTGTGCTTCTTAGTGCTGTAACAATAGAAGCAAAAATGTTCCTACATCTTTTTTTAATAACTTCTTTCATATAAATGGAAGTTGTCCTCTGCCATTCGCTCTTACCACACAGAAATGCCAGTAACTTGGCACATGTCCTTCCCCACTTTGTCCTGTGCTCACGAGGACACTGCCATGTATCCTAGGGCTCAAAGCAAGCTGTGTAATAGGCCCAACCCATTTTGGTGTATTGAGATGCTAGCAGATCAGTAAATGCCTCCCTTGTCCCACTTGAGAGCTAAGTGGAAATGAAAATGTAACTGACGGGGGTGTGGAGCTGAGCCTGCTGAGCTCTGTGAGCGGGTCCATCCCAAAGAGAAAGGCCCTGCGGTGAGCATGCCTGGTCCTGTCCCCACAGGCCCCCAGCACTCCCTGGTAGGTACCGCCCCTCCCCTGTGCAGGGGCTGGTGGGGACACAGAGGCCTGATTGTGCGGGGTGGGGTGAGGCCCCAGGGATAAAGGTGTGCGCGCTCACACCCCTCCCCTAGTGCAGTTGTAAAACCACACAGCGCCACTCAGCACCATTCTGGAAGGGCATTCAGTGTCTGTCCCTCTGAAAAGGGGATTGGTCCTGATGTTCTGTGTTCTGTCCTTTGGGAGGTGAGTTTGGTATAAGCCTGCGCTCCGTTTGTAATCATTTCGTTCTTAGAGCAGTATGCCTTTACTTTTCTCCTAATGCTCATTTAAATGCTTTATTTTGAAGCTGGAGATGAAATAGTGGACCTGACCTGTGAATCCTTAGAGCCTGTGGTTGTGGACCTGACTCACAATGACTCTGTCGTGGTAAGTGTTGGAACGGAGAGTTGACTCTTCCTGGCTGGGGGCCTGGGCCAGACCAACTTCAGATGGCCTCGGTCACAGGTTGTGGCTCATGCCAAAGAAGCTCGTGCACTTAGTGACTAGAGCCCAAGATAGAAGGCGTTACTGGAAGATCATTTCTTGTGGCTTTGTTGCCTGTGGACAGTAAGTGTGCGCAACCCTGGTCTTTCTGCAGCTGGCAGAGGAGCCGTTGGGGGGAGCCCTGAGGCCCCGCCTCTGCAGCCCCCCCACCTGCACTTGGTACCGGCTGTGTGGCCTGGAGCTCCTCAGCCTCCTTCACTCTCTACGTGGGGCCGTACCCTCTGCACCAGGACGTGCTTGTGCGCTCTTTGGTTGGCTGGCACTTGGGGGCACACGTGGGTTTACACCCTCACAGCTGGCAGGAGCGAGATCTCTGCGGTTACAGGAGAGCTGCCTTGTGGGGTGCGGGCGCCCTGCCTGCCGCCTCGGCTGTGTCAGGACTCTGGGGAGGGCGGCAGGCTGCTCGAGTCCCCTTCCTGTGGCACCAGCCATGGACTCTGGCAAAGAGCGTGCTGGCCCGTGTGGCCTTTGAGGAGGGAGACCTGGTCTGGGCGGAAGCCGTGTGGGGTGGTTCTGGCAGACCATCTCCACCGTGTGGCGGTGCGCCGTGTGTGGGTCCCACAGACCCGCGTCCTGAGTCTGCGTCTGCCTCTCGGGTGCCTCCAGCGCCTTTTGTTCTGTTCTGATGGGTCGCAGTTGGAGTGCGTGGGAGGCAGGTGCTCCTGAGGGCTGCGGTTGGTAGTGGCTGAGCCCTGCCCCCACCCCGGGGCCCCCGGGTCCTGGGCTTGTTCTCATTGCAAAGAAGGTTGCGCTGAGAAGGTTCAGGACTTCTTTAAAAGGAAAAAAGGGCGATGATGGGGAGCTGTCTTGACAGATTTAGAGGATTAGATTCTGGTCTTGATTTAAAACCTGTCCTGTGTTACACACATGCACACACGCCCAGAGGAGAGACAGCTGTTCGCACACACACGCACACATACACACACCACACCACCCCCTGCCCAGAGGAGAGGCAGCTGTTCTTAGCTTGTTCTTGCCGAGCTGTTAAACCACCTCCCCCAGGTCCTGGGGTGAGTGCGCGGGCGGGGCATCGGCTCCAAGAGGAGTCGGCAGTTCCCTGGAGACCAGGTGGAACTTTCCGAGATGGCTGGGGAGTAGGTTTAGCTGTGAGTGGGCTCTGCTTCGGCCTGATGGGTGTGTTGTCTGGGGTTTGTGCGTATGTGCGGCTTCGTTGCTGGTCCTGCAGGCTCCTTGGGCTTCTGGAAAGATAGCTTCTTTTGGTGCCGTGGGTAAAGCACGCAGCCCCGTTGCCGGGAGACGCATAGAAGCAGTGCCCAGTCCTTCTTTCCTGTGTGCTCACCGCCCACCTGCAGCATGCCAAGCCCTGCGTGGTGGGCAGCCAGGGTCCTACTCGACCTTCGAGCCCTCAGGAGACAGTGATCGGCTTCTGCTGAGTGACGCGCCAATGCTGTGAAGTCCCCTTTCGTGCCTTGGGTATTTTCTTTGTATGACTAGACTGTCCTCCCTCCCTCCCTACGTGGGCTCCTTCCTGGGCTTTCCTGCCTTCTCCGTGTTTCCTGGGCATGGAGAGTCCTCAGGAGACGTTGAACAGGACTGTTAGGCTTGGGGGAGCTGGCCTGGGAGAGGACTGCAGGCCGGAGACCGGCCGTGGGAAAAGCGGGGAGCTGGCCTGGGAGATGGGCGTCCTGGTTTTCTGGTTCCGGACATACTGGTCATTTTGGTCCTGGATTTAACTGTGGTCTCGGTGTTCCCAGCCATAATTGTTTGGGACTCTATACAACTCTTGATTCTAGTCATTCTCTACTTTTTGTTGCTTATTTTTAATAAATTCAAATGCCAGCTTTTAAATTTACAGTGAGAAATACACATGAGGCTGAAGTTCTTGCTCTAAGCCAATCTGGGGAAACCTAATAGTATTAACTCAGGACAAGATGAATTGTAAGTTCAGGGTGACCTCAGGCCTCTCCTGCAGGAGAATGTGAATGGATAAATGTATCTATTCCCAAATTGGGGTGATCTTACCAGTGCTACCAGAATCTGGGAACAGGCCAGGCGTACCTAGGAGTAAGTAGCTCTGTATTTTCAAGACCCGAGTCCCTGCTTACCTGGGTCCAGGCACGGCTTTAGAACGTCGGTGAGCCCTCCGATAGCCCTCCAATGAGAGATTTCACAGAGACTGGATTTTTCCAACTCTAAAGCCCCCAGTGAATTAAGAGAACTAGAAAATGCTGTAAGATGCAGTAAGACTTAATACATGTCCACTGAGATATTTTTTTTCCCTCCAAACTTTTATTTTGGGCATTGCACACCCAAAAAAGGCTGTCACTGCTGGGTCCCAGGGCACATACGTCTTTGATGTTTACCAGATGTTACTAATGCCAGACTGTTTTCCAAAGGGGCTCTGCTAGTTCCCATTCTCACCCGTGTTTGGGGTGCCTCTGCTCCCGCGTGCTCGCTGCCACTTTACTTCAGCCAGACTAAGGGTTACCTCTTTTGTGAATACGTGTTTGTAAAAATCTTTTTTTTACCCACACATTGTATATACAACTTTTACAATAGCTGGAGAGATTGATCTAGAACAAAGCAACTCTTTGTCTTCTCCCCACTCCTTCCCCCCATTTGGTTGACTGCTTTGTGGGGTTTTTTAGACTTTTTTTTTTTTTTTTTAAGTAGGCTCTACCCCCAACATGGGGTTTGAACTCAAAACCTGAAGATCAAAAGGCACATACTCTATCGATTGAGCCAGCCAGGCACCCCTTTCTGCCTTGTTTCATTTAGGAATTCTTTATAAGTGACAAATATGAGCTTGCTGTTAGTTGGGTCTTTTGTCTTCTCAAAGGTTTGCCTTTTTGATTTATGTAAAGAGGTTCTTAATTTTAATAATTGAATTTATCAATTTGTTGAAGAAAATTTCCTATAAAAATGTGTTTCTGTATTCTAACAGTTACTGTTTTGCCTTCTGCAAGTAGGTCTGTAACCCATATGCATTGCCTTTTATGTGTGGTTCTAGGAGGGCGTCTTTAGCCCCTCTCAGTAAAGTCTTAACAGTGGTCCTTGTAGCTTTGCAAGTCTTTTGTTAGAAAACTTCTCCCTAGGGGCGCCTGGGTGGCTTAGTCGGTTAAGCGTCCGACTTTCGCTCAGGTCATGATCTCGCGGTTCGTGGGTTCGAGCCCCGCGTCGGGCTCTGTGCTGACTGCCAGCTCAGAGCCTGGAGCCTGTTTCAGAGTCTGTCTCCCTCTCTCTCTGACCCTCCCCTGCTCACGCTCTCTCTCTCTCCCCTAGAAATAAATAAAAATATTAAAAAAAAAAAAAAAGAAAAAGAAAACTTCTCCCTAGACACATGGTATTTTAGGAAGCTACTAAAAAATGGTATTATAAAGTTTCCTTTTTTGTTGTTATTTGCTAATATAAAGAAATGCAATTGATTTTATCTATTGACTTTTTAAGTCTAGCAATTCTTAATCTGTAAGTCTTTTGGATTTCCCTATGCACAGAACAAATTTTGGTTCTTTTCTTTTCTTTCTTTCTTTTTTTTTTTTTTTTTTTTCCTTACCTTAACACCCTGGCTAAAGATATTTCAACACTGGCTGAATAAAAATGGTGACAGTCCTAGACATTCTTGTCTCATTCCAAATCTGAAGGAATCCTTTCAGACTTCGACCATTAAATAAGACCTCTGCAGTAGGTTTTGTTGCTGCTGTTCGTGTCCTTTACAGATTGGAGAAATTCCCCTTTGTTTCCTGTTGGTCTGCAAGTTTCATCATGAATCAATTATTGAATTTTAACACTTTACAGAAGGATAATTTTTCCCCTCTCATATGTTGAAGTGAAGAATTCCATTGGTTTTCTCCGTGTACCATCAGCGCAGAGCCCAACGCAGGGCTTGAACTCAAGAACCATGAGATCATGTCCTGAGCCAAAACCGAGTCAGATGCTTAACCCACTGAGCCACCCAGGTGTCCCATGTTGCTTTTAATGTTAAACCAACTAAATATTGTTGTTGTGACATTATCTTTTTGTATACTGACAGATTCTGTTTGCCAGTGTTTTATATATATGATTTTTCCACCTATTTAAAAAAAAATGTTAATGTTTATTTTTTAGAGAGAGAGAGAGTGGGGGAGGGATAGAGAGAGAGGGAGATAAACAATCTAAAGCAAGCTTCAGGCTCTCCATGAGCTGTCAGCACAGAGCTGACGCGGGGCTCAAACTTAGGAACCACAAGATCATAACCTGAGCCAAAATTGGACACTTAACTGACTGAACCACCCAGCCACCCCTGCATCTATTTTTATGAGTAAGATTGGTTTGTCTTTAAGTTTTATCTTGTACACATTCCTTAAAGGGTTTTGATATCAGAGTATTGTTATCTTTATAAAGTGAGTTGGGACCCCTTTTTTCTGTCCTCTAGAAGATTTTTCTTTTTTAATGTTTTATTTATTTTTGAGAGAGAGAGAGAGCATGAGCAAGGGAGGGGCAGAGAGAGAGAGGGAGACACAGAATCACAGCAGACTCCAGGCTCTGAGCTGTCAGCGCAGAGCCTGACACGGGGCTCAAACCCAGGAACCGTGAGATCATGACCTGAGCTAAAGTTGGATGCTTAACCAACTGAGCCACCCAGGCGCCCCTAGAAGATTTTTTAATATTGGAGTTATTTCTTCCTTGCAAGTTTGGTTGTACTCTACAGTGAAGGTACCTAACCTAAAGTTCTTCAAAGTTTGTCGATCTATCTAAAATTTTTACTCTTATTGGTATAAATTTGTTTGTAATATCTTAATGTTCTGTGGAATCTGTAGTGATGTCTCCTTTTCCATTTCTGATCTCAGTTATTTGTGTTTTCTGTCTTTTTAGATTAGTATCACCAGAGGTTTATTAGATCTTTCAGAGAACCAACTTTTAGCTTTGTGGATCCTTTCTCTTGTAAGTTTTTTTCGTTCATGATTGCTTCTTCTTTGAGTTTATTTTGCTGTCTTTCTAACTTACTAATTTTCATCATTTCTTTTCCAGTAAATGCATTTAAGATTATACTTTTTAAACTATATCCTACACGTTTTGTTAGTATTTTACATTTAATTCAGCATATTTATCAAATTTTTTTTTTTAACTTTGAAACATTGGGGATTTTCTTTATTTTCTTTGTTGTTGTTACTGACTCTTTGAATTACTGCGTTATTGGTCAGAAAATACATTCTGTGTGTCCGTTCTTTGCTAATTCCTGAGACTGCTTTGAACCTGGCCTGCACAAAGCAGCTGGCCTTCCCTAGATAACCTGCCCTCACAGGTCTTGCCTGGGCTTTGGTTTCTCTATGAGGCTTTCAAATGTAGGCTTTAGTTTGTTTTATTTATTTATTTTTATGTAATGTTTATTTATCTTTGAGAGAGAGAGACAGAGTGTGAGTGGGAGAGGGGCAGAGAGAGAGGGAGACACAGAATTGGCAGCAGGCTCCAGGCCCTGAGGTGTCAGCACACAGAACCAAATGCGGGTCTCAAACTCCCAAACTGCGAGATCGTGACCTGAGCTGAAGTCAGACGTTTAACTGAGCTACCCAGGCACCCCAGCTTCAACTTTTCAAGAATCTTCTGTATTTTTTCCCCTCTAGATTATTGTATTCCGTTCAGTTTGAACAAATAATTTTTTTGATACCTCTTTATTTAAAAATTTGTTTTGGTGGTTTTCAGTGGGAAATTTGGTGGAAATACTAGCTTGCCATTTATTGGAAACCTCTGCTCATATTTTCCATCCTTCTGCCCCCTTAGCTGGTGTAATAGGTGAGTGAAGGATTTGAGGGCACTTTTCGCGAGCATTTACAGTGTGTCAGCCTCAGCTCTGGCTACAGGGCATGACACAGTAATAGAGAAGACTTGCTCCTCTAAGAACTGAGTCCTTAAGGGGGAGGTTATTGAAAATCGTATTTGCTTAGACTGCTTTCCCTCATTGAATTTCAGAAGAGTATTTCTTTTAAAGGCAGGTTGGTTTCTCTGAAATCTCTTCGGTCTGTTTCCGTGGTGTGCTTGTGAGTCACCCGTTTGTGTTACACTCCACACCTGCCTGTTTCATTCATGAGACTGTGGAAAGGATCTGCTTAACTAAAGCTCCCTTGCAGGCAGGGACAGAGCCCATCCGTCTTAGGGGAATAGTCAAGGGCCTGAGGGGCACCTGGCGACTTCATAATCGTGTGTGAAGACAGAAGGGCTGGTCACCATAGCCAGGAACTGGGGAAAGGTGGTCCGTGGCACCAGAGGGGCTGCCCACCATGACCAGAACGTCAGCGGCAGGCCTGTGTTGCTGGGCCTCCCTGCGGGCTGCGTGCAGCAGTTGGGTCTAGAGAGCAGCGCTTCCGTGCCCAGCAGTGGAGGTGGCTGTTTTCCCCAGTGCAGCATATGATGCCAGTGGGGAGGTCGCCTGAAGCAAGTGGCTTGCTGAGCTCTTGGCTGTGTGAGCATTCTTAGAACTGCCAGGGGTCCACTTGCATGCAGAGGCCCCAGGCTGCTTGGCTCGTACCGCTGTTTCCTGCAGCGTATTCCTGCAACTCCAGGAGGTGCCCAGAATGCCAGGGGTCTCGTCTGCGGGTAGGAGGAGGGCTTGGTCAGGAGCCTGTGACATGGGTGTCCACATTCGCAGGTGTTCTGAGGCTCACCTGTGCTTCAGAAACTCAAAAGGGCCTTCCTGTGACCGGCCCGGAGCCTGTGCGCCCACCCCGGTGTGAAAGCAAGTGGCAGTGGGTGCCTGCTGTGGGTTGTTCACCCTCCAGACACCTCACTTGGCCCTCAGTGCTCTGACCTGTGCTCCGTTCCACAGTCACGGAGGAGAAGCCATTCCCAAAGGGGAAGCAGGCTGTACCAGGCCACTTGCCACAGTACTAACTCAGCTGTTCCGACCAGGGGATTGGGGTGTTGGTGTTTCATTTCTTTTAAAGGCCCCTCAACCAGATGAGAGGCCAGAACTGCCCTCCTCTTCCTCCAGACAAGCGCTGTGTGACCTGCAGGGCCATGGCCATGAGGAAGGGCCGGTCCAGGGCACTTGCAGACACCTTACAGCGTTCTGGAATGTGATGGGATTCAGCTGCTGGCTGCAGTGAGCACAGGCCTAGTGTTCCATGTCCCTCAGCCAGGCTGTGGTGCCATTGCTTTCTGCCCTTTGGGCAAGAAGCTTCATCTCTGAGCGTTTCTGTTGAGGATGGGGACACAGTCCTCACCAGTGAGGGGAGCTCCCTGGCCACTGTGTGTTCATGTCCCCAATAGTTATGTAAGGAGCACCTGTCCTGAGCCTTGGACCAGGCAGCAGAATGTACCTCCCCGGGGCTCAGGTTAGGCCTGAGCTTGGCACTGCTTGGAAGTGAGTTTGGTCTGAGTCACGAGAGCCTCTGGAGACCCGGTTCCCACACACTGGTCTCCGGGGAGCCAGCGGCGCCATAGTCCTTCTGGGTGTGTCCACACTTCATCAAATGACCCATCTTGGCAGTGCTGTAGAGCTGGGATCGCCCCTGCCCACAGCCGACTTCCTTCTGTTCCTGGCTAAATTCAGAGCTCCCTTCTCTAGGCTTCATGGGGACGGCATCTCCTGTCAGCCCAAGCTTTTTTCCTAGTAAATATTCCAGTGATGAGATCGACAGGCCTCCACTTGCGTGGTCCCACAGTCCAGCCTCCTCTGGGGGGAGGGGGGTACCTTCCGTGCTAGTGTGGGTTGCCTTCTCATCCGCAGAATGACCATCTTTATGCTTAGACCCTCCTCCTTCCTGGATGGCCTCTTGTACCTGTCGGGGTTCGGGTTGGGAAACTGAATCCACTCTAGTTCTAAAGCAGAAATGGATTGTAATACACGGGAGGAGACACTTCTTGGTGTTGAATGGGCTGGAGGAGCAGGTCTCCAGGAATAACCCCGGACCTCTCGGCCTCGACCCACCACGGGACTGTTACCTCCGCCCAGGCACAGGGGCAGGAGACGGGAGCCATCACCTGCACTGATCGTTTCCTTGGGTTCAAGCAACCACTACGGCAGCCCCTTGTGGAGAGGAGGGGCCTGGGCCAGGACTGCCTGTTGATACTGCTAGCTGCGTCCGGCAGCTGAAATGCGTGCTGTCTCACTGTGGAACCTGGTTCGTGTCCCAAATCCCTGCCACGGGGAGTTGGGACAGAGCGAGCTTCTGGCTTCTGCAGAGCGGGACAGCGCACCCTGTGGCGTGGCGTTGGCCGACGACAGGCGGGCAGCAGGGCTTTCCTGAAGTAGGTGACGGCCTGTGACGATCAGGGGAAGAAGTGTGCCCCTGGGGACACTGTAGACAGGCAGGAATAGGCGCTCCAAGAGGGTTGAAGCCGTGGATATGAGGCTTTCGCGGAGCAGTGATCCTGGCGTGGGTTCTGGGTAGTGCGAGGGTGGCCTCCGGCTGGAGAAGCCTGAGTTGGGTCCCCGCCATGCCCCTCGCCAGTCCCTGCATGCCCTGCTCCGTGTGATTACTTGATGATCTCCCATGATGAGCACCGCACACCCTCCTCCCAGTAAAGGCGCATGGAGTAGGATGCTTGTCACCGGCCCCGCCGGACAGGGAGAGCGTGCGGGCCTAGCCCCGGGCTCCGTGTCCGTGCCGAGCGGGGGGCGCTGCTGCCTCTGTTCCTCAGAAGAGAAAGCCGGCAGCTCCCACACGGTAAGTACCTTTCAGGTCACAGGCTGGCAACTCCCACTCCCTCGGCATGTGGGGGACCAAAGCACAGTGTGCCAGCTGCCGGGAGGTGGGTGCACCCAGGATGCACCTTTCCGTGCCATGGGGTGGGGAGGCTTTACCGGTCCCTTGAGAATTTTGCATTTGAAATAAGAAATGGTGTTATTTTATCATTTAAGATAAGCTTTCTTTTTAAATATACAGAGTATCTTATGTCATACTGATTTTCTTTTCCCTTTTGTTTTTCTCCATTTTAATAGATTGTTGATGGTAAGTGGTTTCATCTCTCTTTCCTTGGGTTTGGATGCAAAGCTGATGAGGGTGCGGGGTGTAATGTCGAAGGCCGTGCCAGGCAGGGAGGCCCCGGTGGTCAGTGCTCTGCTTGCCGAGGAGACCGTACCCCTAGTGCGGAGCTATGGTCCCATCAGGGTTTAGAGGAGAACGCTGACCATCTTAGACTCCCCACAGCTCAGGCACCTGCTGCTGGCAGAGATGGGGCTCCTCCTGGGAGGACTGGAGGGTGGCCTCTGCATAGCCAGGCAGGATCTTGTGGGTGTGGCTGCTGTGCCTCTCTGGTCTGGGACTGGCCTTTCCCACTGGGAAGAGGGCGGTGAGGTGACAGGGCTGGCGGCCCTGCCCTGAGCGTGGACTCTCCTCCCTTAGAAAGGAGGCGGCCAAGGAGGAACCCAAGGCGGCCACGCCAGGACCACGGCGACAGCTGTGTGGTGAGCAGTGATGACGAGGAGCTGTCCAGGGACAGAGATGTGTATGTGACCACCCACACCTCCAGACATGCCAGGGAGGAGGCAGCCACGGGACTCCGGTACCAGCACCCCCACCACTCTGCTCCCTCACTAGAAGCCTCTGGCCCCGTGGGTCCCCTCGTCCCCTGGAGGGGGGATCGGCAGGGCGTTAGGAATACTGGACCTTCCCCACGTCCTATGAGCCTGTCGCTCAAGAAGGTCACCTTGGAGCAGCTGCCCAGCAGCTGGGGACCGGTGGGGCTGGATTCAGAGATGGCTCGGCCATTCCTGGATGGACGAGGGTGTGTCTGGCACGGGCAGGGTGGGTGTGGGCAGCCCCAGGCCAGTGGCACTTCCTCCACCACCTGCCGTGAAGACGGGCCCAGCGGCTCCCCGTGTCCTGCAGCAGGAATGCTCGCAGGAGCTGGGCACAGCCCTGCCCCAGACACCACACAGGCCTGGGTTGGGGAGGACAGGGCACCTTCTCGAGTCCCCCTCTCGCCTCCCCGCTGCGCCCCGTAGAGCAGCTGGCCTTCCTGGAGGTCTCCTGGCGCCTGTGCTCAGGGGAGATCCCGGCTGCTTCTGGGAGGCCACTGTGAGTGAGAGTGAGAGAGAGTGTCGGGGTTGCGGGGGGCTGACACGAAGCCCTGTGATTGTAGGCCCTCTGGAACTGTCAGCTGTCCCATCTGCATGGACGGGTACTCTGAGGTAAGCAGGCTCCACTGGGCTTCCCGCCTCCTGATGTCCACGCTGCTTCAATGAAGGAAGTCGATGGAGAGGATCTTCTCATTAAGTGGGATCTGACACCTCTGTCCTGCAGTCAGGCGTGGCTGGCGCGTGGCCTGTCACACCTGTGTGGGGACAATGTGCCAGCTTCTCTTTGGGCACTGCACCCTTCAGTCCTGGCCCCCGTGTGAGCGCACGGCCCCGTGTCTTTCCCGTCCCAGCCCAAGCAGAGGCCCTGGGGCTCCCTGCGGTCCCCACACCGCCCGGCGCCGCCCCATGTTGCCCACACGGCACCCCCGGGCCTCAGCAGGCCTGTGGGTTCAGGCACCTGGGGTCCCTGCAACCCTTGGGTGCCTGCTGCCGGGAGAGTGGCTCCCATCTCTGCTCTCGGCCTTAGAGACCCCGTCATTGTTGCCTGACACTGCAGAGCCGCCCGGCCCTTCCTCCCTCGTCACGGCAGAAGTGGGCTCTCTGCCTCCCTGGGACTGGGGCACACGTGAAGGCTGTTCCTCCTTATGTTTTCTAGATTGTACAGAACGGACGGCTCATCGTTTCTACAGAATGCGGCCATGTCTTTTGTAGCCAGTGCCTCCGTGACTCCCTTAAGAATGCTAACACTTGCCCGACTTGCAGGAAAAAGATCAGCCACAAACGATACCACCCCATTTATATATGAAACGTGGGGAGTTTTGGGGAGAGGCAGACGGACAGACAGCCAGGCTAGATCCTCCACAAAGCCGTTCGTGGCTTCTCTGCCTCAATTTCCTGAGCTCAAAAAGACTGTTTCAGAGCCAACATCTGATACGTAAACTGCTCTTTTGTTTCAAACCTGCTCTTAGACCCTTTCGTTACCTCCAGTTCACTGCGGTGGGGTTGGAGCCAGGCCCAGGCTGGGGTCCCCACCCCTGCCCCTCTGGGCGCTCTGCTTCCAGGGTCGGAGAGAGGGAGTTAGGCACATCGGAACTGAGAATCGTGGTTCCAGCATCTTTCTGGAACCTGCACGTTTGCCAAGAAATTTTCCCCATTTGGGAAGTCCGCCCCAGCTTCCTCATGGGGGTGTCATCAAGAGGCCGGCCCCGCTCTCCCGGGCAGGCTGCAGCGTCCCTGGCATCAGCCCGCCTCAGTGACCAAGCCAGACGAGATCCACCCGGCCCGAGGACCACGGGTGTGAGCACGGCCCTGGAAAGACCCAGCATGGGGCTTTCTTCTTCCCTTGCAAGTCCAGGGTCACCCGTGACCCCCCAGCACCTCAGCAGTGACGAGCGGGATTGCTGCAGATCAGGGGACTCTACAGGGCGACTCCCAGCTTCCTAAGAACGAAATGTGCAATAAAGCCTGTTCCCTGCCCACTTCTCGGCAGCACAGGAGATGTAGCACTGTTAGCGTCCCCTCAGAGGCCTCGTGTTGCCCGTGGAGCAGTGCCTGTCACATCCCGTCCTATTCGCCACCTGCTCTCAGGAACTTAACCCGTGCCCCAGAGTTTTTCACCTGGCGCAGGCCGTGCCGGGTGTAAGGCAGACGTGTGGTTGGGTGTCCTCGCTTCCGATCAGATCTGCCCTGCGTTCACCACAGGCCCTCCGGTCCTCAGTTCCCGCTGCCTAATGTCTACCCGAGCGTAAAGACAGCCGGTGGCAGTATCTCTGGCCTTACCAGCCACCCGTATCCCTGCTGTTATTCAAGTCACGGCTCCCCTGAATTTCAAAGAGTTTGGCCCACCTGATACTCGCTGGGCTCCGCCTTGGCTTTCACCCACACCCGTGCACCGGCTGACATTCATTTCAGAAGCTGCTCGTCTGGCCTTTTGGGCTTTTGACTGCTCCATAGGTTTGGTTGGCAAAGTATGGTGGCCTCTCTCCCCAACGGACCCAGGTAACAAGCTCTGCTCCGCTTCCTCAGTGTGAACGTCTTGGTCCCCGAGGAGGCAGCAGGGTGACCTGACTGCCTCTCGCAGCACGGGGCCTGGGGGTGGCCAGCAGGGGAGCGACCTTGCCCAGTCCGCCCGCCTCGGCCTCTGCGCCCTCCTTAGAGGGCTTCTAGCCAAACCACCAGCCTCTTCGTGTGAAACAGCTGCAAGGTGGGGAAGGGGCCTCCTCTGGCTTTGCTAGCAATAACTGACCTTCAGTTTACTCTTCTGAAGGAGCAGGGACTCGGCACGGAATTCACTTTAAACGGGGCTGAAGGAGTGTCCCTCCTCTATGTGAAAAGAAATTTGTTTTATTCTTCATTCTGACTTTTAACTGTTTGGCCCACTTCCAGTTAATTTGGATGAAAGTAATAATTTTCTACTTGGAGTCAAGGAGGGCGGGACGTCCGTTCTCATCGGCCTGATGCTGGGCATGTCTGCCCTCTGGTTGAACATCATTGCCTTTAAGTTCCTCTGGGCTTCATGGAAACTTTTGTTCTGCTCCAGCAGTACCCAGACTTCAGAACCCAGGACGACCATGCAGCCCACATCTCCTTTAAGTTTTGTGCTTAAGGACAGATGGTTGATCAATAGGTTGTATTCCTTCATTCTAAATTGGGGAAAAAATGTTTTGTTTCTACTATTCAGAAATTGCAAAATAGGTTGGTAAGAAAAAGAGTCGTTTTCCTTTCTTCATTGTACATAGTTCGGACCTTTCTTTGTTACACGTAAACTATACCCACGCACATCAGTCTGTTTTGGACTCCTCTAGTGTTACAGATGGAAATAAAATCATTCATTTGAACCAGATCTCTTTAGTGCATTCATTTGCTCCATCCCAAAGATGGGTTTTCTCCCCCTTTGCCCAAGATGTGTGATTCCTGTCTGCCTCAAGTTTAGCCCATTTTGTCTGTGTGCAGGAAAGTTGCTTCTGTGGCTACCGCTCCAGAGATCAGCAGGCCAGAGGTCATTTCCGGGAGTGGAAACACAAGCCCAGGCCCTGGCGTCCTTGACCAAGCAGGATTCATCTCTCTAAGAAGCGAGGCTGGCTGTGGGGCTGCCTGGCCAGCGGCCAGCTCAGGGGAAGAGCTCTGAGCAGTGCGGACTCAGATGGACCTGGGATTCTGACCGTCCCTTCCTGTCCCCCCCGCCCCCCCGCCACCACCCAGATACAGAATTTATCTTCCACACCAGGGTGGGGGTCCCAGGAGAGCATGGCATGCTAGTGGGTGCCCTAGGTGATCAGTGCCGGAAAGGTGGCACAAGGGCGTGAGTAGGCTCCTTATTCCTGGGCACTCGGTGGTGGCAGAGGTCGCCTCCGCCTTTCTCCATGCCTACTGAGGGGGCCCAGAGGTGGAGCTTCTAGGCACGTGATTGAGCTAAATTTCAGAGGCCCACCCTCAGCTGGAGACCAGTGAGATCAGAGGTAAATGAACTTGCTCAAACCCTCCGTGTACATTGTCACGCCCAAGTATTGCACTTGGCACTTGTGGGTATTGAGAAACCTATGGATACTGCTGCCCTTCTGGGATGTATGTTGCTTGAGGGAGACTCGCCTCAAGCCAGTGAAAAGTCAAAACTTGGAGGTCAGGTCCAGGAGTCCCCGGAGAGCAAGAAGGGACACTGAGCTGCAGGCTTCAAGGTTCGAAAACATTCTAGGGAAAGGGGAGGTAATGCATATTCCTTTTCAGTGTACACCAGGGTGTACTAACTTCGCATTTCTTGGATAAATCCATCTTGTTCATGATATTTTGTCTTTCTGTTTTGCCAATATTTGGCTTATAGTTTCTTAAAATCCATGTTCTGTGTTACAATGACCTACCATTTTCTTACACAGACTTGCCAGGTTTTGGTTTCAAATTAAGGTTAATTCCTACAGAGAGACTAGAGTATTCTCTGTACCCTGATTTTTAATTACTCCTTGACTGAAGTGGAGCTCATAAATACTATCTGTGAACTGTTTTCATTGAGGAAAGATTTTAAAATACTGATGTGTTTTTCATATGTTTGAGAAGTATTCGCATTTTTGCCAGTTTTGTTAAGTGACAGGTTTCTGGGAATTCATATATTTCATCTCTACAAGTTTTTGGCATAAGGGTGTTCATAGTATCCTCTTAAAAGCTAATTAGTCTCTGCAGTTTTTTTATCATTAGTATATACACCTTCCCTTTTATTTTTAATCAGAGATTTGTCAGCTTATGTCCTGTATATGTTAATTCCAGTATCCAAAGTCTGTGGGTTTGGTTCTGAAGTCTTATTCTTACTGGCTCTCACTACTGACTTCTTTGTGTGTCTTGTGAACTTTTTCTCCCTTATTTTGAGCCCATGCAAATTGATAACACAGTCTGAAATTCTTTGAGAACTGAATTGAAAGTGGGCTGCTCCAGAAAGTATTCGCCTTTACTTTTATGAGGTATCTAAGGTCGTTAACTAACACAAGGCCATTTGCTAATACAGGTCCTTTCTATTTCTCTACGCTGTGGAATATAGCACACAAAAAAGCCCACTTCACTGAATTACCTCAAAAGTACAGCTCAGTGAGTTACCGTCAGATGCCCACGAAACAACCAGCCACGACAAGAAACAATGTTGTCTACACTTTAGAAGCCACTGCTTGTCCTTCCTCCCAGTCAGTACGCGCAGCCTTCTCTCCCAGGGGAGTCGCTATACTGACTTTGATGGCAAGGACTGCTTTGACTGTAATTATAGTTTAATTACCAAAACATGCAACCTTAATCACATAATTTTGTTGTTCTTAGAGCTTCTGACGGCTGAGACTATTTGCCAGGCACTGGGGTTGGAGGCTCCTGCTCGGTGTTCCCCTTGTGAACTGCACTCATGTCGTATAAGTTACCTGTTCTGTTTGCTCTGTGGTGTTTCTGCAGACGAGTATGCTTCGGCTTATCTAGTCTTTCAGTCATTTCAGTATTTGGGCTGTTAGCCCAGAGTGAACATTCTGTATGCCTTTGGGTGCAATTTTCCTCCCAAACCTTTTGGGCGTATATTCACATGTAGAATTACTGGCTTATAGGATATGAACATTTCAGGAAAACCCACAAATAAGTGGAAATTAAACAACACACTTTTTTTTTTTTAGTGTTTTTTTATTTATTTTTTTTTTTACAAATAGTTTATTGTCAAATTAGTTTCTACATAACACTCAGTGCTCATCCCCAAAGTGCCCTCCTCCATGCCCATCCCCCCTCCCCCCCACATCCATCAGTCCTCAGTTTTTGTCAGCATTCAAGAGTCTCTCATGGTTTGCCTCTCTCCCTTTCCCCCACCATTTCCGCCCTTCTTCTCCCCCTTGTTCCTCCGTCAAGTTCCTCCTAATCCTCCTATACGTGCAAACATATGATATTTGTCCTTCTCTGCCTGACTTATTTCGCTCAGCAGAACACCCTCAAGGTCCATCCATGTTGCTACACATGGCCAGATTTCATTGTTTCTCATTGCCATGTAGTATTCCATGGTATAGGTAAACCACATCTTCTTGATCCATTCATCTGTAAACAACACACTTAAACAGCTGGTGGGGTCAAAGAAGAAATCACACATAGGACATTTAAACATACTTGGAGAAGAAAGGAAATGAGACCTTAACAAAACTTAAGGGATATGGTGAAAGCAGTGCCCAGGGAGGTGTTTATAGCTATAAATGTATACATTAAAATAGAAAGTCAAATCAATAGCTTAACAGTATGTCTTAAAGAACGAGGAAAAGAAGAGCAAACTAAACCTAAAACTAGAAGAAAGGCAATAACCAAGATTAAAGCAGAGATAAAGGAACTTGCCAATAGAAGACAGAAAATCAAGGACACCAGAAGTTGTTTCTTTGAGAAGATCAATGACGTTGACAAATGTTTAGCTAGACAAAAGAACAAAATCACTAAAATCAGCAATGAGAGGACATAAGACTAATAACATCTATCAACAAATTGGATAACGTAAATGAAATGGATAAATTCCTAGAAATACAAAGTACCACCACGGACTCCAAATAGAAAATAAGAGTGGGCCTGTGCAAAGTGAGATTGATGCAGTGTTGAAAACCCCAACAAAGAAAAGGGCAAGACCAGATGTCTTCACTAGTAAATTCTATCAGACACATAAAAGAGATTACACTCTTCTTCGGATTCTTCCAAAAATTGAAGAAAACACCTCCTAATTCATTCTACGAGGTCAGTATTATCCTGATACCAAAGCTACACAGACACTACAGGAAAAGAAAACTACAGTGTAATATCTCTTAGGAATATGGATGCAGAAATCTTTTTTTTTTTTTTGAGAGAGAGAGAGAAAGCACAAGTTGGGGAGGGGCAGAGGAATCCCAAGCAGACTCCACATAGTCAGTGCAGAGCCTGATGTAGGGCTCAAACTCATGAAGCCACAAGATCCTGACCTGAGCAGAAACAAAGACGCTGAACCGACTGAGCCACCCAGGCGCCCCTGGATGCAGAAATCGTAAACAGATGGCCAACACACTGAATTTAGGGGCATACTAAAAGCATTACATACCATAACCAGGTGGGCCTTTCCTCAGGAATGCAAGAGGGGCTCAACCCCTCTTGGGGTTGGAAATCAATAGACTAGGAAAGAAAAGATAACATATGAGCACCTCAACTGATGCCAACACCCTCTCATGATAAAAGTACTCAACAAACCAGGAACAGGAAGAAAGTACCTCAAGATAATAAAGACCATATATGAAAAGGCCACAAGACCAAGCTTTTCCCCAGGCGCCTGGGTGGCTCAGTCAGTTAAGCGACTGACTTCGACTGAGGTCATGATCTCGCGGTTCGTGGGTTCGAGCCCCGCGTCGGGCTCTGTGCTGACTGCCAGCTCAGAGCCTGGAGCCTGTTTCAGATTCTGTGTCTCCCTCTCTTTCTTACCCTCCCCTGCTCATGCTGTCTTTCTCAGAAATAAATAAAACATTAAGAAAAAAAAAAAAAGACCAAGCTTTTCCCCTAAGATCAGGAACAAGACAAGGATGCTTAAGTTCATCGCTATCCAACATCATGCTGGAAGCTCTAGCTAAAACGATTAGGCAAGAAAGAACAGGCATCCACATTGGAAATGAGGAAGGAAAAGTATCTGCACATGGCATGGCAGTAGAAAACTACTAAAGAATCCACAATACACATAAACAACTATCAGAGCTTATACACAAATTCAGCAAAGTTGTAGGATATAAATTCACAAATTAGTGAATATACTGATCAATTAATATGAAAAGGAAATTAAAACCATTCCATTTCATAGCACCAAAAAGAAATCCTTTCAAATAAACTAGGTACAAAATGTGTACACTGAAATATTGTTGAAAGAAACCAGTACAAAACCTTGCCGAAAGAAAGAAATTGAAGTAGAAAGATATCATATGCTCATGGGTTGGGAGACTTTAGATTGTTACAAAGGCAATACTATCCAAAACAATACACAGAATCAATGCAATCCTGAGACACCAATGGCATTTTTTATAGAAATGGAAAAGTCCATCCTAAAATATGTATGGAGTTTCACAGGACCCATGATAGCTAAAACAATTTGAAAAAGAGCAAAGTTGGAAGACTTCCCAATTTGAAAACATACAAAGGCACAGGAATTAACCAGTATGGTGCTGGCATAAGGATAAATAAATAGATAAATGGAATAAAATCGAGAGCCCAGAAATGATCCCTCACCTCTATGATCAAATGATTTGTCAACAAGGGTTTCAAAACCATTCAGTGTAGAAAGGTTTCTTATGGTGCTTGGAAAATTGGATATTCACAACCTTAAACATGAATTTGATTTAGTCTCTAAGCCAC